TCACAAAAAGTTTGGAAAGTCACAAATAGTATAAATAGTCAATAGTAGACTGGATAGTCAGACAGAAATGGTACAAATAGTCAGAAAAATAGTACAGATAGTCAAAATAGAAATAGAATCTACTAGAAATAGTCCTGGAAACTATCTGGACTTTTTTGACTATCTGTGCATGTGAAAGGCATGATAGACATCAATTAATTTCCTGATGCTCCATCAATCAGACACTCATTTCACTAGGTCCACCAGGCATCTTTGACTTATGCCTTTGTCCACTCTCTACACTAACCATTAACAAGGATGTGCTTTGTTGTATTTGGAAATTAACAAAAACAAAATAAGTAGCCCCTGAATCTGCTCATTGTCATTTACATGCTCAAAAGTTTTGTTCAGTACAGTCACTCTGCAGTAGAGATGGTGGACTTAATATGCAAATGAATCATAGAAAAAAATTACTGGCCAAGCTCGAAGATCACCGCTAGCAGTACTACAACAGAAGGCATTTACGTAGTGTTCTGCCAGCCAGAGAACTGTGGCTTGTATCTACTAACGAAGTTAGAACATTGCGCTCACTCGAAGGCCTCTGTGACTACCACTCCATAAGGACGAAAGTAAATATGGCATACTCCACAGGCACTCTGATTGCAAAGAGAGAGACGAGGTTGGGTAAGAACAAGGGGTGTGTATAATCGCGAATTAGTCCTGATTCGTCTGGCCACTTGGTCGATACTTGATACAACAACTCTCGAGCCCTGCTTCTACGTCTTCCGGAATGTCACCTTTAACTTTGACATCATACTTCGCTTTCGACACCAAAGAGAAAAAAAAACGTCAGCAATGCTCGGGAGCAAACCAAAAGGCAAACAAGGCTCACCCGTTCTCTGTCATCGTGCTACTCAACTCGCGACGGACGTAATTCCATCAAAGTAGATGGCGGTGTGAACAGATGTCCCACGGAGTAAGGCATAAAAATAGGATGTTTGAGGTCTCGTGAACAGGAATACAACAAGGATGCGCTTGCATGATTTCTTGGCAGTTTAGGACATCCATTTTTCTTAGAGTCCGTTGGATATTGGAGCAAAGTAGGCGTGCTCCGAGATTTTTATATTTGCCTTGAGAAGGAGTTAAAGCTGTCATCGTGGATGTCAATGTCGTCAGGCTTTACTTATTATGTGAAGTAAAACTTGTGGAGAGGCTACGAGCAGTGACCGAGGAACGTGACGTTAGCGAGAGAGCAGTTTGATTGATTCGATTTTTACTGAAGCTAAAGTGTTCAACTACCCCACGAAAATGGGCTGAAGCCGACGCAGCCCCTAAGTTCACCATAGGGGCACACGCGCCGGAAAGTGTGGCATGCTGCTAATCGGCTTGAGGAAGCTATCCCTGATCTCGCTGGGACTGTGATGGCCCCATAACTTTGCTAACCCCTGTGTATCGAATCCGTTCGTAGCCGCGACAGGGAACAGAGGCATTGCAAGGCCTCTCAAATTTTGTGAGCGTGACGTTCCTCCTGACCGGGAGGTATCATGTCGTCCTCTCAGTCGCCAAGGATGATGCCCCTCATTCTGCTCAGTGTGGTTCCGTGTGTTATCGCCACTTCTAACGCCTCAAGGAGCTTCAAGTCAGTAATCGAGGGTGTAGGGTCGTTGTATGCACTTTTGTAGGTCGCAGTTGACCACCTACCCTACAGATCATCACCGAACCACGAAAGCTGGCTGTTGTTGTCGTGTGCGCCTCTGTTGTGGTAATCGCCATCCTCATGTGGCTGGTGCACATCATCGCAGGGTTGCGTGCGCAAAAGGAGGTTCCGCAAGACTGGGGGTCAGCCTACTTCCCCTCAGCTACTAAGCAACGACATTTCCGTTTCAGAGTTGGGAACGTCTGAAAGGGCTACCAAAGTACCTTCTCTGACTCCTTCGACGAGTAACCCGCCCAGTCGCAGCTTCCCTGAAATCTCCCATCAATGACGCTGTGAATACTTTCAACACTGGGATTCCAGCACATCTGCCGTCACCTAAATCGTCAAGAAGAACCAGTCACAGCCAAACTCCCGCCCATGAGCGACGCCGTCGTCATCCACAAGGACAGGATCACAGGCTGGCGGGCGGTCTCGCACTCCCCCTCCTCACATCGTTCTTCAAAAGGAGGACAGTTTGAGGCGAGCGAACATTATGGGTCGCTTGTTGCGAATGAACAAAACCCCAGTTCAGGTACGTCATGGTGCCCCTATTTTCATGGCTGAGGGAAGAAACACCATTTCTTCCAGGCGGTCCCCGCTATGCACGCCAGGGCAGTCGTCAGTCACGCATGCCCGAGCGTTTCCTGGGTGTCGCAGGGATGCCCAGAAGGCCATGATAAACATCATTCGAACTCGTCCCATCGGGGACAACAGCATGGCACACCCCTCCGTGACATGGAGACTGTTGTATTAACTCACACCATTACCTACCCTTCCAAATACGCACAATCTCCTTCGAAGCAGATACCACAGGAGCACATTGCAGGGAGTTCTATCATGCACCGTCAAGGGGCAGTGTCTCAAAATCCAAGTGACACGGAACAACAGCGATACACAAACCGTGTGGACCTGCCTAGTCACCATGACGCAAGCCCTATGGTCCTTGTTAACGATCGGCCCCCACCATATTCTGCGAGATCAAAGGCTTAGCTTACTGTATATTTCAAACTGTAACAAGACAAGGGCCAGGGAAGACCACGGGTCGACTTCCCATGAACCATGTCGTAGAAACTCGGTGGGTTGATACTTATGCCAACCGCTGCATGCGATCGCACCTTATCCTACTATTTACACTGCGGAGAAACTCTTCAGACCGATGTACCAGCTTATTTCGGAAGAAAAATGATACTTACTAGGCACGAGGTAGGACTTATTGAAATGCAAGGGTAGGCGTAAAACAACGCTTCGTCGCCGTTTCCTTTTGCGAAGGCTGCTAGTTTGCAGCGGGAAGTAATCCGGTGCATTTAGTAAACCCACATCCTGGCCCCCATGGGGAAGGGCGGCCATCTCCACGCTTGAGTTCTTTGCTCAGAATCCAAGTCCTGGATGCCGTCCCAACGGGATAACCTGTAATAGAATAATGATGGTCAGGGAAGCTGACGTATACTTCCTCATTTTATTCAGAGATATGGAAATGACGTTTAGTTGCCCGAGGTCGACATCAAATCGTAGCTTCACAAGAATCACTTTCGTTAACTGCTGAATAACTGAAACACACCCCTCCCCCCCCCTTAAATCCCCCTGAATATCCTGGATTCGCCATCTTTTAGGTGGCTTACTTGTACCCACCAACCCCCTTTCATTTCAATGTCTTGAACGACGGTGGTCAAGAGAGCGCAGACATACCACTACCTCCCCAATGCGATGTCAGTTTCGGTTTTGCTGTGGGTCACTTTATTTCGTCTTCTTCAGGGAGTTGCTGCCACCGGCAGCATCTCCAGGCGGGAGCCCAATGGTGTGAGTCGTCATATATCCTCGCATCATAAAGACCCACCATTCTACTGTAACATCTGACAGGCCTTTTCGGATCCACCAAAACAAATCGCTTTTACTGTGTGTGTTGTAGCGTCCATAGCGGGAGTTCTCGCAGTTGGGGTGTACGCCTTAGTAGCCGGCAGGCGGAAGAAGACTTCGGATGACCCCGAGCTAGGATCTGCGGTCACAACAACCAATGACAACACACGTCCATCAGACCAATCTGCGAATACCGAGCCATCCTCTCGAGCATCCGGCGATCTCCAAAGGCGGACACCGTCGACCGGAATCCTGGTACCCGATACGGACACCCCAATGAGCCGTTCTTCACGGTCCCGCCGATCACGGATATCGTTCATACCAACAAGCCTTGAGTCGATCCCAGAACACGAGCAATGGCAGTTTTGCTTCTGTAGCGATAGCGGCGACGATGATGACACTTCGCCCCCTCCAGGTAGCTTTCACTCTTGGTACCTGGATTACCGATGCCGAATACTCTTGAGAAAAATTTCTATAATGGCCGGACACACCGGAAATCATGGTGAAGCAAGGCCATCTGCCTCGCTTCCCCACGAGGAAGATACCACAACTCTCCATGACTTCGTCAACGTGAGCCGAAGACGAGTCCATTCAGGCACTTAAGCGGAGAAGGGGTCCTATCCGCCATCATGACACAGGACCCATAGCTTCAGCTAACATTAATGAGCAATCCACACACCTCGACCAAGTTCCACCATCCATCCTACGACGTGGTGATCGTGCAGAACCTTCCGTAGCTGAGCAGCCAGCGGACAAGTCCAAATCCGCTACGGCTATAAAGCGAACTGCCTAATGCCAGCTGCGACTATCCCCACCTACTTTGTGACGGAAGAACATATGCGTGTCGATCCTCCGCCACTTGGCACGGACAACGCAGGAGTTTGGGATTTCAATCTGCAATGACTGCGGCACTACACTTCACTTTGGGAGTGCAGATCGAAGACGGCTTGATATATGACTTATCTCTGCGTACGTGGGTCGGACATACGCTCTTTAGGGTAGTGGACTGACCGGGTCGAACCACAGCAGTCAGTCGTCAAAAAAAGCGGGCCAACTGTTATCACAGGTCACGTGCATCGACGCGTCGCACTACCCATTCAAATTTCAGATAAGGACTTGGTAGATAGGAGATGTGATGTCTATCGTTTATTCTGGGGACTCGTACGTTTGGTAAACCGCCAACCTTTCTTTCGCCATGTGCATGAATATGTACATCGTAAGGATCTTGGGGGTGTTCACAACTCATCGCCGGTGTAGTGCCTACTCGTCAGCGGGCCTAGAACACAGAAGGACTCCACGTCGGTCCAAACTGTGAAGAAGCAGGTCTGTTGAATCAAGGGCCATATATTTTCCCTTCCATGCGTCTGGATTTCTTACCCTCATCAATTGCGTTCACGATCAAATGTGTTCCCTGGTGGCTGACCTGTTCGTCGTTCACCAGATTACATACGGTTTTCGGGCAAGTAAGGTTTGTCGCGATCCATCACGAAGCAGTCAATCTCCCTTCTGCGTCGCTGTGTCATGAAACGCTACAGGTGGACGTCGGTCATCCTACTCCATCTTTCGCTATGCGTCAGTGCTGCCAACAATCCCCCAGCCGACTGGCTCAAGACTGTGGGCCGTTCACGATTAAACCACGAAACAAGGCTGACACTGCTAACGCTAGATCTTCTCCGACATGCGAACGGCGCTCGTTTTTGTGGCTTGTGTATCGGCTGGCGTGACTGCAATTTTCGTGTCGCTGCTGTGTCAAATACGCATATCGTACATTCGAAGAATAGCACTCGAGGAAGATTTCAGAGTCCACGAGCAGGTTCCTGATGATATTTCCCCACCAGTACATCCCAACCCGTTCAATCCCCCGTCCGAGCAGCCAAACCCGTTCAATGACCCACCGGAAGGGCCCAACCCGTTCAATCCTTCGCCAGAACGCCCTAACCCACTCAATTCCCCGCCAGCGCAGTCCAACCCGTTCAACCCCCCGCTGGAGCAGCCCAACCCGTTCGACAATAACGCACCTTCGGCAGCGAACTACCCTCCGCGGAGTAACCCAATTGCGATTGCGTCGTCTGGGCAACCTAGAATCAGATATCGGTTTCTCAACTCTGATTCCGACCAGGTAAGCATACGTATTTATACCCCAAAGTGAGGAGGCAAGCTCACCTACCAACTCCCCTCGCAGACAGACAGCGAATCCAGCCGGGAGGGAAGAAGCTCTCCCTCCACTCAGGGCAGCTCGTCGTCCCGCTCCCGTGGGCGTCCGCGACGCCGGAGGGCCAGGCACAGGGTTCGTTCCTTGAGTGAGAGTGATGCTTCGCGAAACAGGCATGATGCTAGTGATAGCCGCCGACTGGCTTCATCGTCTTCGGATAGTGCTCTTGATGAATACCTCTATATGAATTCCAGAGGACGCGGTCCTGACACCCGCCGGGAGCAGGAAAACTCTACAGGAGCTCCTGGCAGACGGCGTGATGAGTCGGAGTCCCTGTTCTCGACTGATGAAAGACGACAGCTCATCAACCGTGTTCGGGCGGCCATGCAACAAAGGAACCGTGTTCGCTCTCGTCGAACCACCTTGCAACAGGAAACGATCGCAGGCCCGTCTTTCACATCCCCGGATAACACAGGAATCGTAACTTCTAGCAGCCCCAGTGAACACAGCCAAGAACACATAACATGGCCTCCTGTGTTTGCGGTGGATGAAACAAGACTGCTCACAACCCGTGTTCGCGCCATCTTGCAACACGCAAACCGCGTTCACTCTCATCGCGCCATATTGCAACACACAGATCGTGTTCAGTCTCAGCAAGCCATCGTGGAACAGGCGCCGACCGCGGGTCCCTCGGTCACGATCCCGGATAACACAGGAAACGTAGCTTCTAGTAGCGCTACTGAACTCCCGGCGGCCCCTACGCAATCATCCTCGCCACGGGAGTATAGCGAGACGTCCTCTTCCTCGGGGCACAGCGGTGACGAAGTTGACGCACCTGTGAACAATTCACCACCTCCGTACTGGAGGTTCACGGAGCATTTCGATAATTAGTGGATAGGGCGAGGTAATATTCTTCTACATTTGTTGCGTAGTGATGGACCGTCCCGTATATGGCAAAGATCGCTCGTTTAGTTGTTGTTTTTACGTTGAGTCAATGGTTACAAGGAATTCAGTGCGGTGATACAAAGATTCGACATACTACTGGGTCTGAGCGCCATACCCTCTGATGTTCTCGGCAAAGTCCCACGATGTCTGCAGTTTCAGCGAGCCCGAAATGTTCACGCCTTCCGCAGTGATAGGTTGCAATTTGGTACTACAACGACTATCTCAGCATATCGTAGACAGGACGAGTCAATGATGTACGTACCTTGTCCAGACTTCGAGCATCGCGGTAGAAGAGAACGCGCATACAATATTCCAATATATTTTGTGCTTGCTCTGCTGTGAGATCATCTTCGTGCCCTTCTACTGCTTTGCGGAGTAGCGGTTGTGCAATGTAGGCTCCGAAGCCAGTGGCAAGGGTCGAAGCTGAATACGTCGTCCCAAGCAAATCGACATATGACAAGAACCTGTATCAGGCACGATCAACCATTTTCATCGCAGCTCCTTCAAGAGAAGATACATACCTCTTTCCATCCTTGAACCCGCCAATGAGGAGAGAGTTCCACAAAGGGTCCAACTTCGAACGCCGCGCGTACATGACCTGCGACATGTACTCGTGTATTTCTACAGGCCCGAGTTCAGTGTGCATCCTGCTGAGTGCTCTCCGCTATTTGCACTTCTTCGAGGATGTGTTGGATGTGTTGGAAGTCGGACATGTCACCGCCGGCACCGATAACGGTATACCTCCCAACGGGATGGAGACGTTGAACGTCCTTGAAGCGAGCGAGGGAGCCATACGATGCTTTTTGTAGAATAATGTTCAACAATGGATGGTCTGGAAGCGATGAGAAGACAAACCGAGGTTGTCCGCTGCCATCATGATCCCATCCTTAAATTTGATAGCCAGCACACTCGTGCCGGTAACGATCGGCTGCCTGTGGATGGTCTAAGTAGATGCGCATGAATATACAGATGTGTGGCCATACTGTGTACGCTGAACACTGTCAGCGAAAGCGTCCTTGGGATGATTGTCGGGCCTCTGATGGATGGGATAGGTACCATAGGCATCGAACATGTCATTTCTCTACGACGACAGCCCACCATTAGTATTCCTCACAAGCAAGGAATTCTGCACTTACAGGGCGACCCCAGTTGGTAGGAAAGTGGTCCATGGCTGTCAGAGGGATGTTGCAAACGCGTCTCACCGCAAACCATGGACGCGCAAGCACCATGTCTTATGTAATGCCCTAATTTGGCCAGCGACCATTTTCTTACCACCGCAGATTGTTGAGGGGGGGGACCTCTGCAACAATGTAAGTCTATAGATCTCTTTCTGTGTTCTTCCATGTCATCCGGCAGCTCCAATAACTGGCTCGTCTATAATGTGTATTTCGCAGTAGGGCTTTGGTTCTGTCCAGAAACGAACATCACGTGAGCATTGACCTGCCTTCCCAATTTGGGTTGGAAGGGACGCGTCACTTGCGAGGACTGCGTTCAGATCAGACAGAGCAACCATGGCCAGTACAGACGCGAAACCACCAAAGGACGGGGAAAAGAAGAATGGGGAGAAAAAGAACGAGGAGAAGACCCTCACGCCGACAGCCGAAATCAAAGTTAACATCGCCTTTATCGAGCGAGCCGTGTCCGAGCTTGAACCGCGGTTTACTCACCGTGTATTGCGATCACTCACTGCGCTCAGGAAACGCACTAACGATAAGGTCTTGCGAGATGCCATAGAAGAGAACTACCCAGCAGGTATGTTATATCGATAAGTTTACATCTCTTGTACGGAATATTTATGTGCTATGGTTATAGACTCGGCCGTAAAGGCGAAGCTACTTACCTGGCTGCCCCCAGCTACAGAGGCCGAGATGGATTGTCGATTCTACTGCCTACCCCCCAAGTACACCGCCTTCGAAACCTACCTCTGACCCCGTTCCCGAAGTGGAGATATACCTTCGTCTTCTCATCATTCACCACTTCCACACTTCCAAGGAGAATTACGCCAAATCCATCCAACTGTCCAACGAGACAGTAGACAAAATGCAAGCGCTAAATCGCAGAAGTGTGGATCCAATTGCTGCGAAAATATGGTTCGCTGTCGAACGATCGTACGAACTAAGTGGTGAACTCGCCGACGCGCGACCGTAAGTGTTTCTGTCTGTGTCGCAACTTACACTAAATTCCGTCTGTATTTCAGACTGTTTTTGGCGGCTCAGCGGACAGCCGCATTGCGTCATGACGATGATACGCAAGCTTCCCTCATTAACCGTCTTCTCCGAAGCTATCTCCATTACAACTTGTACGATCAGGCAGATAAACTGGTTTCAAAAACCACATTCCCTACCTCCGCCAGTAACCCCCAATTTGCTCGGTACCACTACTTCTTGGGGCGCATAAAGGCAGTACAATTAAACTATACCACTGCTCACACGAATTTGCAAGCAGCCATTCGCCGTGCACCACCTGCGAAAACAGCGCCTGGTTTCTACCAAGCCGTGCACAAGCTTTTCGTGGTTGTTGAATTGCTGATGGGAGACATTCCCGATCGTAGCATATTTAGGCACCCCGTCCTCGAGAAAGCGCTCGCTGCCTATTTTGACATCGTCAAGGGTATGTGCAGTTTCATTCTATGTCCTTTACCCCTTCAGTAATCCACCTATCAGTGGTCCGCACGGGCTCCCTCTCCGAGTTCCAGGCAACGTTGACGAAGCATGCGGCACAGTTCGAAGCAGACAAAACATACACTCTGATCGTTCGTCTCCGGCAGAACGTCATTAAGACTGGTATCCGTCGCCTCTCCCTATCGTATTCACGCATCTCCTTGCGTGACATTTGTCTCAAGCTCCACCTTGACTCCGAAGAAGATGCGGAATACATCGTTGGAAAGGCTATCCGTGATGGCGTTATCGACGGTCGGATTATTCATGAAAAAGGTTGGATGGAATGTGAAGGTAGAAAGAATGGATATGGACCTGACGTCAGTGAGGTGTACATGCGAAGAATTGCGTACTGCATGGATCTCCACAACCAGAGTGTGAAGGTAAATCTTCATATTCGATCTGCCATGTTAATCGCTCGTCGCTAACTGGATGTTTTAGGCAATGCGTTACCCCCAGGACGCTCACCGGAAAGAACTGGCCGCCGCGCAGGGAGCCCGAGAACGTGAGAGGGAGCTCGCCAAGGAAATAGAGGAAGGAGACTTGGATGAAGATGACGGCGGTCTGGGTGGCTTTTGATGATCGATGTCGGACAACACCCCTGGTCCCTCATAGTTGCAGACATCCGTGATTCCTATTAGGTCGGACTTCGTTGCATGGAACCTATTTCCAACGTGCCGAATAATAATATTCGTCAACGGCGGTACTGCACAGTACTATTAGTATCACACCAGGCTTGGATCCGTAGGACTTCCATATAAGCGTCCATCCCGGACTTCCCGGTGCCAACTTGAACCCTGTTTACTTAGCTACAAGCACAGATACGAAGAAAGTATGCAGAGGACACATCCTATGATGTACCCTGCCGGAGCCAAAGCAGATGACCGGTTGATCACTGAAACATTTACTAGGGTCTTCCAACGTCCCAAATCATACCAACATCATCAACCTAATCACAGGCTGCTTTACTTCCCAAGAAATACCTTGCTTACGCCAAGGGATGGAGACCACTGTTACCTATCCGAAACTGTTCATACAAATTGCATATGGGAGATATCTGAACTTTGTAGCACGCTACAGTAATATAAACTTCCGCGATACATACTACCCTAAGGTCGAGAAACAATGAATTCTAAGTATACGACGTTATCGCTTCAGTTTCTTAGTTGGAATGTCGAGCCCTGCGGCTCCCCTAGCCTTACCAGCGCGTTTGTTCGCAACTCGCTGAAGGGCTCTCTTGGTCTCACCATCTGGAAAGCTCTCAACATCGTAGTAAAAGGGAGCATTCTCTAGTAACCTATGATGCCGTGGGTGAGATTGGCGAAAGGAAGGAGTAAAGTATAGTTACCATTCAGGGCGCACATCCGTCACAGTCCGGATATACGGTCGAGTCGTCAAGACGAATTCATTGAATAATACCCATTCTGGTTGCGTGTCCAGACCACAAGATGGATGCAAGTTCACGACCTGACACAGACAAGTGAGCCACCATCAGCTGCAAGTTGCCGACTTGGCTACAGGAATACGTTACCTGGTTATCTTTTACAGTTAAATAACTGCCTTTCTCTCCTTCCTTGTGGGCAACTTGCATGAAGAAACCACAGCACAGAACCTGCCGGATGGCGAGATGTCGTTTCTTCTCATCCCCGATGGATATGAGCTCGATCTCAAAGCGCTTCCATTGTCCGCTTGAGTTGCTCACGAACGTTCTCGGCCTGGGCAAGCGCCCGAGCAGAAAGGTAATTAGGTCCAAGTCCATGACTTGTCATATTGATCTGCAGGACGCGGGAAACGAGTTGAGATGGGAACGCCGCAAGTTTACTGTAAAAGGCTTACTTTGGATATAATTGTTGTAGACGTTGAGAAGTGTAAGGTGGTCACCATCTGGGACTGTGAAAAGTGCCTTGGCTGCATCGGCTTCCTTACGCTGGTTGTTCGGCCGGAGCCATATATTTGGGACTATTGTGAATTCCGTTCGCTCAGGGAGCCACTCGCATGAGAAATGATGAGATCGTACCAGATAACATCGCAGTGATGGTTAACATTTCATTGCTACATTTGAATTCCGGGCTGACGATCAACATCTTCGACAACTAGAGGAGGAGTGATCAGACTGAAGGAACCATCTAACCGCACAATCCGAAAACGCACCTGAGGGTCTAGTGGGAACTCTGCCATGAGCGTGCCCAGCGCCGTCAGATTACCATCATCGTCCAACGCCGCCAAATAGTTCAACAGTTCGAGCGCACGCATGAGAGTTTCTGGCGCAGGTGCGTCCACATAGTCGAATCTTACAAGATCCTGTGTAAACGTTCAGAACGCATAGGCCACATCGCCCAGATAAGAGCACTCACTTTGATTCCTGCCTTGACCAGTTCTAGTACAGTGTTAGCTAAATTACTCCTTAAAATCTCCGGGTGTGTCTGTTCCTCCAGCTCCGACATGAAATCCTTTTCTGTGTACAATCTGAAGCATTTCCCCGGTCTCGTCCGCCCAGCACGTCCAGCACGTTGCTGTGCAGAAGCCTTCGATATTGGAGTTACCAGTAAACTCTCTACACGGATCCTAGGGTTGTACACCTTTTGCTTCGAGAACCCAGGATCGACGACATAGACGATCCCATCGATAGTCAACGAAGTCTCCGCGATATTCGTTGACACAACCACTTTTCTGCCAGGAGGGCCATCTGGCATTTTCGGCGATGGGGGCGGGTCGAATATACGTTGTTGCTGCTGTGGCGGAAGTGAAGAGTAGAGCGGTACACAGACTAGAGGCCCGACAGAGTCCGGATCCTGATTGATCAAATCGTCCGCCTCCAATTTAATCTTGCGACATGCGTCTTCGATCTCCTCTTCTCCGGTTAAGAAAAGAAGAATATCACCGGGATCCTCTGCACGATGAATCATCAAAACGGTGCGGATGGCGGCCTCGACGTAATCGGGTTCGGGTTCTTGAGTATAAAATACTTCCACCGGATGTGTGCGACCGGGTACTTTGAACAGTGGTGCCTGCGAGTCAGAATGAAGACCAAAGTACTTTTGGAACTTGAGTGCATCCAAGGTGGCGGACATGACGATAATTTTCAAGTCGGACCGTCTCTTGGCAAGGTTCTTCACGATACCCATGAGGATATCAGTGGCGAGAGTCCGTTCGTGGGCCTCGTCAAGGATGATTGTGGAATACCGATTGAGGTCGGGGTCGTTCATGGCCTCCCGAAGGAGCATACCATCGGTCATGTACTTGAGAAACGTCTTCCCCGGTTCTGTCATATCCTCAAAACGTATCGAGTAACCGACTTCTCTACCAAGTTCCACTACGACGTGGATAAGTATGTTTGGAACGTCCATGATACCAGACTGACTTACTGTCCATTTCTTCGGCAACTCGTTTGGCGACAGACATTGCAGCAACACGTCGTGGTTGCGTACAGGCGACGATTTTGCCTTTGGTATGGGGCAAGTCCGAATAAGCGACAAACTGTGGTATTCTATCGGTGAAAAGAGACCAGTCTATAAGTCGCGGTTCAAAAATGACAAGACAAAAAAAAGTTTCTTGGTGTCCCACTTACTGCGTTGTCTTGCCAGACCCAGTCTCGCCTACCATGACAATAATCTGGTGGTCCTTGAACTATACGAGCGGGATGATGTTCGCAGTTAGCATCCGAGAGGAATTTTCACGGGCGCCCGAGTTGGGGCGCTGACATGGGAGCCGAAGTTTAACACTCACCATCTTGAGGAACTGGTCCATCTGCGAGTATACAGGTAGTTTTTTCCTTGTCTCGAGTATCTTCTTGTACTGTGGCGTGTGGGGTGCCTTTGTAAAAGGATTGACTTCATGTTCCTGCAAATGATAACCTCAGGACATTCGTCCAAAAAGATGATGCTAGCTAGTTCGTTTTTCTTACCAGAGCTTTGCGAACTTGATCGCCTGTTACCATCCGGGGAACAAAGCCAAAGAGCGGCTCCTTCGCTGCGAGCGTTGAGGTGCCATTGGAACCGGTTTTCCGGGAAGCCATGAGCCTCGTGTAGTTCTTCGTTCGAGAGAGCGGGAGAAGGCCGAGTGATGGAGCTGGGTCCAACAAAAATGCGTGGCCAGGAATGTCACATGAGCATGGTAGTGGCTGTGCAGCTGCTTACACTATCTCCTTGCCAACAAAAAAGGACAAAAATATCAACTGCATTAAGAGGGAATCGAACCCCCGGCGGGTCGATGGCAACGACCCAGGTTACCACTACCCCATTAATGCTGCACTGAACCACGTGGATAAGATATACAGAATCTGATCCTATAGTAGTATAGTCTCCCGCTGCACCGTCTATGTACGCAAGGGCACACCACATCATGCGTTGTGTTATCGATGGAATAACCGCCGACCTCTACCAGGACGAGCACTACCCACTCTTCCTGCCTCTGCCTGGTATAGCCGATACGCCTCCCGAAGATGGTCGGGGGAAAGTGGCCCACTTTCACCTCGTCGTGCCTGAACTGCCCGGCCTACGAGGGCAAGGTTAGCCAAGGAACGGGAACGTCACCAACAATGTTTCATACCCTTCTCTACTATCTCCCCTACAAACACCTTGGCAAAGCCTGCTATTATTTGTGCCACGGGTTGGGAGACTTGCTGACCAGTCGTCTGTTGTATTACCTAGACCACACATCAGTGCATTCTCGACTGCTGCTACAACATGCGCACTCTTCGAATGGCTTGCTTTGGTAACGCATGCCTCCTGTACGCTTCGAACCGATCATACTGAGCAGCACTGAAATTGTCCATGAGGACTCTACCGCAAACGATGAATTAGCCCAAACAAAAAATCGTTTTATTCTGATCGTGCGGTACAAACTTCAAGTTATCTTTACTTTCGCTCTGCCAGGAGAGTTGTGCAGAATAGTCATCGTCTGCCATAGCGGGTAGAATCTCATCCTCTCCGTCGTCGTCACCACCTTCAGGTTTTGTAATTGCGACGGCAGGATTTCCAGCCGCAGGAACAGTACCAGCAGTGACAGTCTTCTCCGTGGCCAGGATGATTTCCTCATCGCCGCTGTCTATCAAGATGTCGCCTGCAGCGGTAGGAGTCGCCGCTGTTGTAGTAGGGTTGGGGTACAGCAGCAGACGGCGATGCAGTTGCAGCAGGTGTCGCCCATTGTAGAGGTGTGAATGCACTCGAACTCGCTTGTGGTTGTTGAGGAGTTGCTCGGCCAGTATCCGAAGCAACGTTTGGGAACGCGCCACGAGGTTTACGACCGCGTTTTGCACCTGTCCCACGCCCTCGCGGTGCGGAAATTGGCGTAGAGGGTGCAGACGGTCCTGGTGTCATCTGGATGAACGGTGTATTTGGATATGCCATGATCGTCGTCGGCGTCGCACTGCACTGGCAAGCCCAGCGTCACGCCTTAATCGACGAGAAACAAATAGTCGCAAATACTACATGATTAACCCCTGACATTATGGACTGGGCCTGCACTGATAGTTCTGGGTGTACGCCAGGGTAGACGGTTTCTCTGGCTGATTCTGAGAGTCTTTCCCTGAGGCAGTTTGTCTGGACTACCCACTGGATCTGAGTGGTCGTTGCTTGGTTGGCCCACTAACCAACGGGCCAGTTTGACCAAGCAACGGCAAACAGGCTGTCGTTGCCTCGGGTCTGCAAACTCAACGCTCGACGATGGCCCACGCAACGTCACCAGCTGAGCCGCGCTCACCGTCGCCGTCATTCTCACAGTCCTCGGTCATCCTCGATGACTCGTCCTCCGCTAGCGAGGCAGGCGAGGTTTCCGCACTCCCTGTGGAGAAACGTGGTTCACCAGGACCATCTTCCGCACCGCCAGCCGACCCCGGTGACACCGTAACATGTCTATGGGAGGACTGCGGTGATGTATTTTCCCACCTGCCCACTCTCATAGAACATATCCATAGTTGTGAGTGCGCTTGCGGGGGCCTACATACCATCCCCTAGCTAACGACTGTTGGTCTTACTAGCACATATCGGCGTGCACAAATCGAATTACACGTGCGAATGGGCCACTTGCAGTCGTCGCGGCCTTGCGCAGACGTCGCGGTTCGCTCTTATATCCCACATCCGGTCGCACACCGGCGAAAAGCCCTTCACTTGTTCTCGCCCCGGTGGGTTCCCCTCTCCTCACATCGTTGGCTCTCCGGTTTGACAGCCCCATCGTTAATAGAATGCGACAAGTCTTTCACCCGCTCAGACGCACTTGCAAAACACATGCGCCTTCAGCACAACATGCTTCCTCCTCCCTCTGGACGTGGCGGTTCCCGGAAACGAAAACGCGGAGATTCCCCACAGCCAAGTCCCGCTCATGGCCTATCGACTTCCGGGCCTGCGGACACCTCCGGATTTAACACTTTTAAGGTCGAGCCTCGATCACCCTCAGAAGTTGGCATTCCTGGTGCAGATTACTTTGACTCTCACCCTCCACCTGGCCAAGAAGACGGCCACAACGAAGACGGCATGGAAGACGACGATGGTGATGACGGATTACCTCCCCATCTCGTTCGTTTCATGGACCCACAAACTGGTTTGGTGATGGGCCGGTCACCTAGTCTGGTCAAATATATCATCCAGAAAGCAAAGATGCGTTATGCATTGGAAACGCACGCTGCTCTTCTAGAGGAGCTGAGGTACATGTTTGGGCTAGAGTTTGGACACACTACATAGCTAAATGTGATTTTCCAGGGTGGCACGAGCACAAGCAAAGGAGGAGAAGATGAAGAAGGAAGCCATGCTGGATGACTTGCTCAGAACTGTATTTGGGTACCGCCACCTCACAGACTTTTATCCCCTCCCTAATGGCCTTTCTGCTTCTTCCCGTTTCTAGCGAGGAAGCTGCCACGCGATACCTCATGACGGATTCGTCTTCACCTCTAATGAACATGCGATCCAATCATGGCGATCCTCAACATGCCTACCCGCCACCACCACCCTCACACCACTGCCGTAACCACCAGAAGCCCTATGCCCAAGTATCATACCCGCATTCATAGTAGGGGGACGTGGTTGTAATTTGCTTCATCTGTTGTTATCTTATTTGTCGTCGCCTTTTGCTTGTCACTCCATGTGTTTTTAACATAATTTCAAGGTCTGTTCTGCTTTCTGGGACTAGCTGGCAAATGCGCCTTTGAGTGTAATGCGTCATAGAGGGATAGTCCTTGACAGGATTCGGAGTAAGATTATTCCTTGACGTTATCCTAGTCCAGGTCTGGGAAATGGTTTGTTTGTGTTTTTACCGGCTCGGTTGTCGTTGTCTCGGTCCGTGCCAAAAAGTCACCATCCCCACGCAATCCCTATTATTGTTGGGAGGATGGTTCTCGGGACAAAATTGTCCGCGTACCATTCCTGTGATAACAGATTCACATGGACCATGGACGGTGCCGGTCAGTGCGCGCGTCACTTGGTTCCAGACGTCACTGACGTGTGGGAGTTTCATTGGTGCGAAAACACGTTCGAGCGTCTGGTATTGCAGAGGGACGCAGACCATGGGGAAGATGAGAGAGGAGGGAGTGGGCCAGAAACATGTATTTTGCACTGCGTTAGTTACAGACATCGACTAGGCGTCACACAGTCGCGGTCCGTTGCAATGATATCGAGTTTCTCTGTGAATGACATATTCATCACATCATTTGTTTGTCCCCGTCGCGTCCACGGACGCCCAGAGGGATTATGCCAGGGGAATAACAAATTCTGAGTGTACCAAAGTTTTTATCGTCTCTGTTTCCTTCTTGCACTGTTGGGCTTTCGCATCCAAGGCGCTCGTTCACAGTTCGCCAGAGGGCTTTCTCCGTCTCATCTTCCGGGAGGGTGGCCAAGTCAAAGTACAGGGAAGCATTCTCCAGTAACCTATGATAAAGTAGGTTAGAAAGGTAATGACGCGATGAAGTAGACTCCAAAACTACCATTCGGCGCGGACTTCCATGACAGTCCTGATATACGGTCGAGTCTTCAAAATGAACTCGCTGCGTATTACCTACTTTGGTTGTGTGTCCATGCTACAAGACAGATGTAATACTACGACCTGACACAGACAAACGAGCCGCCATTAGCTACAGGTCGACAACCTAATTTTTATATGAAAACACATTGCCTGGTTATCTTGTGAGCCGCCCTTCTCGCAATTCTTTGTGGGGAACTTGCACGGAGAAACCACAGCACAGAGCGGGCCGATGGCAAGATGGTGCTTCTTTCCATCTGCGATGTATACGAGCTCGATTTCAAAGCGCTCCATCGTCCACTTGAGTTGCTCACGAACATTCTCGGCCTCTGGAAGTGCCCGAGCAAACAGGACGCAAGTTCCAGCTCATGAATCATTATATTAATCTGCAGGACGCGGAACGAATTGAGTTGGGGAACTGACGACTCTCACTTGAACATGGAGCTTACTCCGGATATAGCTGTTGTAGACGTTAAGAAGTGTAAGATGGTCGCTATCTAGGACTGTGAAAAGTGCCTTGGCTGCGTCGACCTCCCTACACTGGTTGTTCTGCCGGAGCCATGTATTGGGAACTGATAGATTGTTCAGTCAGGACGTCCGTTGCATGGGAAACGAGGAGAACCCTACTAGACAACATCGCAGTGATGGTTAATATTTTCGTTGTCACATCTGAATTCTGGATTGACAGTCAACATCTTCGACAGCACAATCCGAGAACGTATTTGAGGGTCTAGCAGGAACACTGCCATGAGGGTGCCCAGCGTCGTCCGATTGCCGTCGTCGTCCAACACTGCCAAATTGTTTAAAATTTCAAGTTCACACATGAGATTTCCGGCAGGGGGGTGTCCACATCATCGGATCTTACGAGAGCCTGTTCAAATGTTCAGCAACGGCAGACTACCGCCCAGAGAGGAGAGCTCACTTTGACTCTTGCCTTGACCAGTTCCGGTACCGTGCTAGATAAATTACTCCTTAAGATCTCTGGGTGTGTCTGATTCTCCGCGACATTCGTTGATACGACCGTTTTCCTGCAGGGGGACCGTCCGGTGTTGTCGGCGGTGGAGGTGGATCGAATATACGCTGCTGCTGCAGCAACGGAAGTGAAGAGTAGAGTGGTACACAGAACAGAGGCCCGACAGAGTCCTGATCCTGAGTGATCAAATCGTCTGTCCAGTTTACTCTTGCAATATGCTTCTTCGATTTACTCTTCGTCTGTCAGGCAGAGTAGAATGTCTTCAGGATCCTCTGCACGGTGGATCATCCAAACAGTCCGAAGGAGCCTCGTCGTAGTCGGGCTCTGATTCTCGAGTATAAAACACCTCTACAGGATGCATGCGACCAGGCACTTTGAACAGCAGTACCTGCGAGTCAGAATAAAGATCAAAGTACTTTTGGAACTTGAGTGTACCCAAGGTCGCGAACATGGCGACAATGTTCAAGCGGGTCGTCTCTTCGCGAGGTTCTTTAAGCCACCCATGAGGATATCGCTAGCGGGAGTCCGTTTGTGGGCCTGGTCCAGAATGATTGTGGAATACCGTTTTAGGTCGTGGTTGTTCGTGGCCTCCTGAAGGAACACACCATAGGTCATGTACCTGAGAAACATCTTTCCCGGTTCTGTCATACATATCGAGTAACCAACTTCTCGACTCAATTCCACTACTATGTAGATAGCCATGTCTAAAGTATCCCTGCCATTAGCCGACTCACCGTCCATTTTCTTCGGCGACTGGTTTCGCGACGGACATGGCAGTGACATGTTGTGCTTGCGTACAGGCGATGAGTTTACCCTTGGGATGGAGCAACTCCGCATAAGTGACAAACTGTGATATTCTACGCGATAAAAAGAGACCAAATTGATAGGTCGCAGTTCAAAATGACATGACAGAAACGTGTCTTGGTGTACCACTTACTGCGTTGTCTTTCCAGTTCCAGTTTCGCCTACCATGTCAATAATCAGGTTTGCGCTGAACTACAAGCGGAAGGGAATTAGAGAGCACCCAAATCTTTGACACTGATCATCTTCAGGAACTAGGCTATCTGCGAGTATACAGCTAGTTTTTTCCTTACCTCGAGTATCTTCTTGTACTGAAGTGTGTGGAATGCCTTGGTGAATGGATTGACCCCATGTTCCTGCAAAGGATAGTCCGTCAGCGCATCCGTCGAGGAATATCTCACTAGCATGTTCGTTTCGCATACCAGAGCTTTGCAAACTTGATCGCCTTTCACTTCCAAGGAACGATGCCAAAGACCGGCCCGTGTGCTACAGGCGTTGACATGCGATTGGTACGTGTTCTGCAGGAAGCCATGACCCAAGCGAGTTGATGATTGCCAACCGCAAAGGGTAGTGATCTTCGACTCCCCCCTTCCGTATGGTTCCGTCTGCTAGTCAGACATGGTGGGGAGACTTGAGCATGGGTCGCCAATGGTTCAAGGGTAAGATTCTCCCCAACCACCTTGCATATTGTAAACATCCAGTCAGTCCCCCAGACCACTCGTTCCAACCATCGGCTTGTTGTGTCGGTGATATGGTATGTTTCATTAGCAGAAGTTCACGGCTAGGCAAACCCCGCGATCAATTGGGTACGACCCGTCGACCTGGGGCCTCAAATCTCCATCATAAACCATTTGGCGGTATGATCTGTCACGGAGCCCACCCATGGTAGGTTACGGCTCTAACCCTTGAGCGCCTGAACAATTGCGCCGTCGTATTTCAAAACACGTGCGAACCCCATCTTGTCCACCGGGCACTACAAAGTACGCAAGATCTAACTGCGGTTCAGCAGGCCTTATCGATAGATGCAGGTTGCCTGGGATCGATTAGTTTTATGGACGTCGACTTTGAAATACAAAGTACACACCTGTTATCACCGGAACATGGGTCCCATAAAGCGGGAAAAAGGTTTTCTCGCACAGAATCGTTCCGCTTTTGCTTTGCACGAGAAAATTATGCGTGAGATTACAATTGTGTTAAACTACACGGTTCATGTAACCACCTGCCCTCGTTTTGTAGATTTATCCCAGCGCGCCGCACGGATTCCCTATATCTTGCCCAGGCTGTTTTGAGTCACCCCTGATCAATTTTTGGATATAGCTCAAGCCTCAAGGCGACAAGATTCGCCGCTCGATACCTCATGACGGATCTGTCTTCGCCGCCTCCCATGAGCATGCGTTGTCATGGCGATCCTCGATATCCCTATCCGCCCCGACTGCCCTCGCACAATTCCGTAACCGCCAGAAGCCGCATGCCCAAGCATGATGCTCGCATTCATAGTAGGAGCGTGTGGTTGTAATTTGCAACATCTGCTGTTCCCTTATTTATCCGTCGCCTTGGGTTTGTCACTTCTTGTCTTCTTACACTAATTTGAAGGGCCGTTGTCTGTTATGCCTCTTGGAACTATGAATACATGCGCATATTGATGTGACGTATCAGGGAGGGAGCATTCTTGACAGGGAAAGACAAGTTCTACGTGTACAACTTTATCGTTTCTGTTTCCTACCTTTGCTTCCCCTTTGCTTGCCAGCACGTTCGTTCACAACTCGCTGAAGGGCTCTCTTGGTCTCACCATTTGGAAAGCTCGCCACATCGTAGTAAAAGGGGGCATTCGCTAGTAACCTATGATGCCGCGGGTGAGATTGGGGACAGGATGGAGCAAAGTATAATTACCATTCAGGGCGCACATCCGTCACAGTCCGGATATACGGTCGAGTCGTCAAGACGAATTCATTGAATAATACCCATTCTGGTTGCGTGTCCAAGCCACAAGATGGATGTAAGCTCACGACCTAACCACACAAGTGAGCCACCGTCAGCTGCAGGTCGTCAACCTGGATGCAGGAATACATTACCTGGTTATCTTTTACAGTTAAATAGTTGCCTTTCTCCCCTTCCTTGTGGGCAACTTGCATGAAGAAACCACAGCACAAAACCTGCCGGATGGCGAGATGTCGTTTCTTCTCATCACAGATGGATATGAGCTCGATCTCAAAGCGTTCCATTGTCCGATTAAGTTGCTCACGAACGTTCTCGGCCTGGGCAAGTGCCCGAGCAGAGAGGTAATTAGTCCAAGTCCATGACTTGTCATATTGATCTGTAGGACGCGAGAAACGAGTTGAGATGGGAACGCCGCAAGTGTACTGTAAAAGACTTACTTTGGATATAATTGTTGTAGACATTGAGAAGTGTAAGGTGGTCACCATCTGGGACTGTGAAAAGTGCCTTGGCTGCATCGGCTTCCATACGCTGGTTGTTCGGCCGGAGCCATACATTTGGGACTGTTGTGAATACCGTCCGGTCAGGGCGCCGCTCGCATGAGAAATGAAGCATCGTACCAGATAACATCGCAGTAATTGTTAATATTTCATTGCTACATTTGAATTCTGGACTGACGATCAACATCCTCGACAGCTTGAGGAAGAGTGATCAGACTGGGAAGACCGTCTAACCGCACAATCCCGAAAACGCACCTGAGGGTCTAGCGGGAACTCTGCCATGAGCGTGCCCAGCGCAGTCAGATTACCGTCGTCGTCCAACGCCGCCAAATAGTTCAACAGTTCGAGCGCACGCATGAGAGTTTCTGGTGCGGGTGTGTCCACATAGTCGAATCTTACAAGATCCTGTTTAAATGACTAGACTGCCGCATCGCCCAGATAGGAGCACTCACTTTGACCCCTGCCTTGACCAGTTCTAGTACAGTGTTAGCTAAATTACTCCTTAAAATCTCCGGGTGTGTCTGTTCCTCCAGCTCCGACATGAAATCCTTTTCTGTGTACAATCTGAAGCATTTCCCCGGTCTCGTCCGCCCAGCACGTCCAGCACGTTGCTGTGCAGAAGCCTTCGATATTGGAGTTACCAGTAAACTCTCTACACGGATCCTAGGGTTGTACACCTTTTGCTTCGAGAACCCAGGATCGACGACATAGACGATCCCATCGATAGTCAACGAAGTCTCCGCGATATTCGTTGACACAACCGCTTTTCTGCCAGGAGGGCCATCTGGCGTTTTTGGCGACGGAGGTGGGTCGAATATACGTTGTTGCTGCTGTGGCGGAAGTGAAGAGTAGAGCGGTACACAGACTAGAGGCCCGACAGAGTCTGGATCCCGATTGATCAAATCGTCTGCCTCCAATTTGATCTTGCGACATGCGTCTTCGATCTCCTCTTCTCCGGTCAGGAAAAGCAGAATGTCGCCGGGATCCTCTGCACGATGAATCATCAAAACGGTGCGGATGGCGGCCTCGACGTAGTCGGGTTCGGGTTCTTGGGTATAAAATATTTCCACCGGATGTGTGCGACCGGGTATCCCGAACAGTGGTGCCTGCGAGTCAGAATGAAGACCAAAGTACTTTTGGAACTTGAGTGCATCCAAGGTGGCGGACATGACGATAATTTTCAAGTCGGGTCGTCTCTTGGCGAGGTTCTTCACGATACCCATGAGGATATCGGTGGCGAGAGTCCGTTCGTGGGCCTCGTCAAGGATGATTGTGGAATACCGTTGCAGGTCAGGGTCGTTCATGGCTTCCCGGAGGAGCACACCATCGGTCATGTACTTGAGAAATGTCTTCCCCGGTTCTGTCATGTCCTCAAAACGTATCGAGTAACCGACTTCTCTACCAAGCTCCACTACTACGTGATAAGTACGTCTGGAGTGTCCCTGGCATTACCTGACTCACCATCCATTTCTTCTGCGACGCGTTTGGCGACAGACATCGTAGTGACACGTCGTGGTTGCGTGCAGGCGACAATTTTGCCCTTGGTATGGGGCAAGTCCGAATAAGCGACAAACTGCGGTATCCTATCGGTAAAAAGAGAACATTCGATAGGTCGCGACTTGAAACAGAAAAATGTATCTTGGAGCGCCACTCACTGTGTTGTCTTGCCAGATCCAGTCTCGCCTACCATGACAATAATCTGATTGTCCTTGAACTATACGAGCGGGATGACGTTTGCGGTTAGCAACCGGGAGGGATTTTCATGGGCGCCCTGGGGCACTGATGAGGGAGCCAAAGTTTAACACTCACCATCTTGAGGAACCGGTCCATCTGCGAGTATACAGGTAGTTTTTTCCTTGTCTCGAGTATCTTCCTGTACTGTGGAGTGTGCAATGCCTTCGTAAAAGGATTGGCTTCATGTTCCTGCAAACGACGTCAGGGCATCCGTCTAAAACGATGTTGCTGGCTTGTTCGTTTTTCATACCAGAGCTTTGCGAACTTGATTACCTGTTGCCATCCGAGGGACAAAGCCAAATAGCGGCTCCTTCGCTGCGAGCATTGGGGAGCGATTGGTACGTGTTCTGCGGGAAGCCATGAACCAAGCGAGTTGGTGGTTGCTAATCGCAAAGGGTAGTGATCTTCGACTCCCGCTTTCCGTATGGTTCCGTCTGCTTGTCAGACATGGTGGGAAGACTTAAGCACGGGTCGCCAATGGCTCGACGGTAAGGTTCTCCCCAGCCACCTTGCATATTGTAAACATCCAGTCAGTCCCCCAGACCACTCGTTCCAACAATCGACTTGTTGTGTCGGTGATACGACATGTTTCATTGGCGCAAGTTCACAGCTAAAAAAAAAAACCCCGCGATCAATTGGGGGACGACCTGGGGCCTCAAATTTCTATCATGATCCATTTGCCGGTATGATCTGCCACGGAGCCCATCCACGGTATGTTGCGACTCTAACTCTTGAGCGCCTGAACAATTGCGCTGTCGAACTTCAAAGCGTGTACGAATTCCATCCGAATGACTTGCCCGCCAGGTGCAAAGTAACGTCTAACTGCGATTCAGCAGACCTTATCGATAGGTACAGGTTACTTGGAGATTATCCGGGATCGGTTAGTTTTATAAACGGCGGCTTTCAAATACAGAGTACACACTTGTTATCACCGGAACACGGGTCCCCGACCCCCATAATGTGGACAAAGGTTTTCTCGCGCAGTATCGATCCGCGAAAATTTGTACGTGAAATTACAATTATGTAAGACTACACGGTTCATGTAACCACCTACCCTCGTTTTGTAAGTTGATTACAGAGCGCGTCGCACGCAATATACTAAGATTCCCTATATCTTACCCAGGGTATTTTGAGTCTCCCCTTAGCTTTTGGATATGGATAAGACTAGCTGCACAATACCTCATAACGGAACTGTCTTCACCGCCTCCCATGAACATGTGATCCAGTTAAGGCGATCCTCGACACGCCTATCCCTTGCACACTTCTGTAACTACCAGGAGCCGCACGCCCAAGCATCCTACTCATATTCATAGCAGGGGAGCGTGGTTGTAATCGCCTTGTTTGCAAGGTCACTCAAACCCGAAAATGAGACGCCTTTGTCGACTCGATCCCCGCATATGCCTCTAAATCAACTCCGCACGGCAAATCCGACCAGCCACGTCACTTACAACAGCTTAGTACAGCTCGAACTGTACATCGTCTTCACGGCTCGTATGTTGCTGTTTCCTGTAGTGCATTGGCGTGGGCAGCGCTCCGGCGTGGTAAACAAGGTGGCAGTCAGCGGGACGGCCCTGTTCTAGTTTGCATCGTCTGCTGTTTTCTTATTTGTCTATTGCCTTGGGCTTGTTACTTCATGTGTTTTTACATCAATTTGAAGGGCTGTCGCCTGTTATGCCTCCTGGGATTACGAGTGCATGTGCATATCGATGTGATGCATCACAGAGGGACATTCTTGACAGAGAAAAACAAGTTCTAAGTGTACAACTTTATCACCTCTGTTTCCTACCTGAGCTGTCGGGCCCTTTGCTTCCCCTAAGCTTACCAGCGCGTTTGTTCACAACTCGCTGAAGGGCTCTCTTGGTCTCACCGTCTGGAAAGCTCTCAACATCGTAGTAAAAGGGAGCATTCTCTAGTAACCTACGACGCCTTGGGTGAGATTGGCGACAGGATGGAGTAAAGTATAATTACCATTCAGGGCGCATATCCGTCACAGTCCGGATATACGGTCGAGTCGTCAAGACGAATTCATTGAATAATACCCATTCTGGTTGCGTGTCCAGGCCACAAGATGGATGCAAGTTCACGACCTGACACGCAAACAACCGAGCCACCATCAACTGCAAGTCGTTAACCTGGCTACCGGAATACGTTACCTGGTTATCTTTTACAGTTAAGTAGCTGCCCTTCTCCCCTTCCTTGTGAGCAGCTTGCATAAAGAAACCACAGCACAGAACCTGCCGGATGGCAAGATATCGCTTCTCATCCCCGATGGATATGAACTCGATCTCAAAGCGCTCCATTGTCCGCTTGAGTTGCTCACGAACGTTCTCGGCCTAGGCAAGCGCCTGAGCAGAGAGGTAATTAGTCCAAGTCCATGACTTGTCATATTGATCTGCAGGACGCGAGAAACGAATTGAGATGGGAACGCGGCAAGTGTACTGTAAAAGGCTTACTTTGGATATAATTGTTGTAGACGTTGAGAAGTGTAAGGTGGTCACCGTCTGGGACTGTGAAAAGTGCCTTGGCTGCATCGGCTTCCTTACGCTGGTTGTTCGGCCGGAGCCATACATTTGGGACTGTTGTGAATATCGTTCGGTCAGGGAGCCACTCGCATGAGAAATGATGAGATCGTACCAGATAACATCGCAGTGATGGTTAGCATTTCATTGCTACATTTGAATTCCGGACTGACGATCAACATCTTCGACAACTAGAGGAAGAGTGATCAGACGGAAGGAACCGTCTAACCGCGCAGTGCGAAAACGCACCTGAGGGTCTAGCGGGAACTCTGCCATGAGCGTGCCCAGCGCCGTCAGATTACCATCATCGTCCAACGCCGCCAGATAGTTCAACAATTCGAGTGCACGCATGAGAGTTTCTGGTGCGGGTGCGTCCACATAGTCGAATCTTACAAGATCCTGTGTAAATGGTCAAAAAGTATGAACTACCCCGTTGCCCAGGTAGGAACACTCACTTTGACCCCTGCCTTGACCAGTTCCAGCACAGTGTTAGCTAAATTACTCCTTAAAATCTCTGAATGTATCTGCTCCTCCATCTCCGACATGAAATCCTTCTTTGTGTACAATCTGAAGCATTTCCCCGGTCTCGTCCGCCCAGCACGTTGCTGTGCAGAAGCCTTCGATATTGGAGTTACCAGTAAACTCTCTACACGGATCCTAGGGTTGTACGCCTTTTGCTTCGAGAACCCGGGATCGACGACATAGACGATCCCATAGATGGTTAACGAACTCTCTGCGATATTGGTTGATACGACCACCTTTCGCCCAGGGGGACCATATGGCGTTTTCGACGATGGGGGTGGGTCAAATATACGTTGTTGCTGCTGTGGCGGAAGTGAAGAGTAGAGCGGTACACAGACTAGAGGCCCGACAGAGTCTGGATCCCGATTGATCAAATCGTCTGCCTCCAATTTGATCTTGCGACATGCGTCTTCGATCTCCTCTTCTCCGGTCAGGAAAAGCAGAATGTCGCCGGGATCCTCTGCACGATGAATCATCAAAACAGTGCGGATGGCAGCCTCGACGTAGTCGGGTTCGGGTTCTTGGGTATAAAATATTTCCACCGGATGTGTGCGACCGGGTATCCCTGAACAGTGGTGCCTGCGAGTCAGAATGAAGACCAAAGTACTTTTGGAACTTGAGTGCATCCAAGGTGGCGGACATGACGATAATTTTCAAGTCGGGTCGTCTCTTGGCGAGGTTCTTCACGATACCCATGAGGATATCGGTGGCGAGAGTCCGTTCGTGGGCTTCATCAAGGATGATTGTGGAATACCGTTGCAGGTCGGGGTCGTTCACGGCCTCCCGGAGGAGCATACCATCGGTCATGTACTTGAGAAACGTCTTTCCCGGTTCTGTCATGTCCTCAAAGCGTATCCAGTAACCGACTTCTCTACCAAGCTCCACTACCACATGATAAGTACATCTAAAGCATCCATGGCATTATCTGACTTACCATCCATTTCTTCTGCGACTCGTCTGGCGACAGACATCGCAGCGACACGTCGTGGTTGTGTGCAGGCGACGATTTTGCCCTTGGCATGGGGCAAATCCGAATAAGCGACAAACTGCGGTATTCTATCGGTAGAGTCCATTCGATAGGTGGCAGTTCAAAACGACAAGACAAAAAAATGTTTCTTGGAGCGACACTCACTGTGTTGTCTTGCCAGATCCGGTCTCGCCGACGATGACAATAATTTGATTGTCCTTGAACTATACGAGCGGGATGATGTTTGCGGTCAACAGCCGGGAAGGATTTTCACAGACGCCCCAACCTGGGGCACTGATATGGGAGCCAAAGTTTGATACTCACCATCTTGAGGAACCGGTCCATCTGCGAGTATACAGGTAGTTTTTTCCTTGTCTCGAGTATCTTCCTGTACTGTGGAGTGCGCAATGCCTTGGTAAAAGGATTGACTTCATGTTCCTGCAAATGATAACGTCAGGACATCCGTCCAAAAGGAAGTTGCTAGTTTGTTCGTTTTTCATACCAGAGCTTTGCGAATCTGATTACCTGTTACCGTCCGAGTAACGAAGCCAACGAGCAGCTCCTTTGTTGCAGGCGTTGGGGCGCCATTGGCACCGGTTTTGCGGGAAGCCATGAACCATGGGAGTTGGTAGTTGCCAATTACAGAGGGTAGTAATCTTCGATTGCCGCTTTCTGTATCATGGGGTCCGTTTCCTTTGGGACATGATAGTGGGAATGAAAGCTTAGTCGCCTACCCAACCATCTCGCATATTGTAAACATCCAGTCAGTCCCTCAGACCACTCGTTCCCACCATCGACTTGTTGTGTCGGTGATATGGCATGTTTCATTAGTGCAAGTTGAGTGCGAGTTTACAGCTGGGCAAATCCGGCAATCAATTAGGGTAGGACACGACCTCAGATTTCAAAATTCTATGAAACTGGCCATGATCCATTTGAAGATACAACTATCACGGCACCCACCCATCGGTATTGATGCGGCCCCAACGGCGAACCCCATGAACAAAAGAAGCAAGGCATTTTCCTCCGTTTTCCTTAGATCGCCGATCCGACAACCTGTCCGGGTGCAAAGCGACACCTAACTGAGGTCCAGAGCTTATCGCTATGGTACAGGTTACCTGAGGATTGTCCAAAATCAGTTAGTTATATGGACGTAGGCTTTAAATATAGAGTACCACCTGGTACATAAGTGTCGGAACCGTCTAACACGGAGTCTCAAATGACGCAAGTGCATATGTAAGCCAAAATTCAGAGTTACTAGAGCAATACTAGAGCGCTTGAGTCGTTTGGGTTTCACACGGTGTCCAGCCCCGAGCGCTCCAAGCTTCAGCTCTAGACTACTGTGTAGCACTACTGATTACTAGATACAATCGGTGTGGGGTCCTGTACCAAGCGATACCCCACTATATCCCTGAACGCGCGATCGCCCGTCCACCGCCTTCCTGCCGGCTGTTTTAACCGTCTAGGTCTACTGACAAATGGGTGTTGCATTACAAAGAGAAAATAAAGGGGGGGGGGCTTGCACGCTTGTCACCAGAAGTAGGCCAGTCGTCGCCGAAATCGAGATCTGAGTGGATAGACGACGTAACACACAACGGTGAAAAGAGGAAGCACAGAGTAAGTAGAGGTCGTATTCGATGTCAGCATTTATCGGAAGCGAAGATTGATCCAGCCCCGTTGTCCACGTAGGCAGGACTAGGTCTCCAGAAAATATCGAGGTTGATAATGTTGTCTAATACGCAAAATTTAAGGTAAAGAACTCTCTGCTGTTACAACTCAGACCCATGATCAAATGCAAGCTGGCAGATGCGCCGAGAGACGCATTCCATTCTTTGCTCGTAACATCTAGCCCATGTATAGCATGTGTGGTCTGGTCGTACTTCAATGCATTTGCCACGGTGAATACTGCTTGGGGAAAAGACGCTTACAGACCTGGGCCTGACGGCGTCCAGGAATATCGACAACGCTGAGCTCGCGCTTGATCTGAAATCTAATACCCGAAGTTGTTGACTTCTGCGTAGCCTTCTGAATTTACATAAGCATTCACCTAAGCTCAAGGATGGGACGCGAGACGGTTGGGAAGGTTGTCGTGGGTATGTGGGGGAGCAGCAAAGCGGACGCTCATGTTGTCGTGGACTAGTCTAGTCATCGCACACTATGCGGGGCTTCGGAGTGGTTATCGAATCAGCCGCCAGCGGCTCCAACGCAAATCTGATCCCACCGCGACTACAATGATGATAGATATTTCGAACTAATGACCGTCCCTGTGCTTGCAGCAGAATTTGAAGTGGCTCGTGGTAACCATGGTTTGGATCTGTCACCTCGAGACCGTTTTTGTCACCCCACGGTTGACCAATGTTCAATTCGCTAACACTATCATGAATGATACACAATGTTACTCCAGGAAACATACAGAGCGTAACTAAGGCATCACTTATTCTTACCGCCTTAAACCCTAGAAAACTAAACTTTAAACGTCCAGATCATCAATCAAACCGTCCTTCAGCCATATTGTTCAATCTATCCTCCTCAGAATTCAACTTCCTCACGAGGATCCAGAAAATGACGCCAGAAACGCCACATATAACAGCGATGGAACCGTAGTTCCAGACGAGCAGCGGGTCAGTCGAGAGGGCTACCGCAAGTGGTCAGTATGCACCCCACGTAGCAATGCACGACAAGGTACTCACAAACGAAGGCTTCGCCCATGGCAGATGCGATAGCATTCGTAAAGAGGAGCATGGACATGACAAGTGACCGCATGTTCCTCGGTGCCTTAGTGAACGCATACTCCATGCTCGTGATCGAAGCAAAGATCTCACTAAACGCAATCAAAATATATCTGAAGATATGCATGGGTGCATTGTTGTCAGAAAAGAGAGACGAAGCGAAAACTCAAGTACTTACGATCCGCTCTGAATCCATACGTCCAAGGAGGATACCAACGGATTCCCGTTGTTGTCGACACAGGTACCGGCATGGTACCCACATGGATTTGTCTGATGATTAGGTATCCATCAGATGTTTTCACATAGGAACATGGGAGGTTACCTTGTAAATGTAGTGCTGGACGACGGCCGCCCATACCATTGCTGCAGCACCGGTATAGAACCCCCAAGCGATCCTTTGCAGGGGCCTAAAATTGATCCTCCATTGGACGAGAGCTGGGTATAACTGGCAGAGCCGTCGTAAACCATAGATAACCAGGGAAGGAGACAGGGTACTCACGACCAAGTCGCACAGCGGGATGAAGATGATGAGAGCCAAAGGATCCAGGTCAGGAAGAACATCGTTAGGTAGACCGTGTGTGCTCATGGTGGCAGCTTGCGACGTCAAATTGTTGTTCAATTGGTTGTACGACAACCCTGCAAGTTCCGTTCCGCATCATCGCCCACCATGCATCACAAGCAGCAGCTCACAATAAATCGGGAACCACAAGAATACGAGACAAGCTTTAAACCCGCGCCGAAGTTCTTCCACCCAGTTATCATCAAACTTCATCCACGCCGGTTTCTCACCAGCCACCTTGCTTGGCTTAGCACTCTCCCAGAAGTCGTCGGCGGTGAGGTTCTGAACAGTCTTGATAGGATTCCAACACCATCGTCCGCGCATGGCAAATCGCCAGACACGGACCGCAGTGACGAGCACTGAACCCGTTGGTGGTGAAGTGCAATACTTGCCATGTCCATACCACAAGCCCAAAGGAGAGAGCAGTAGAACAATGGTCGGAAGCGTATAGGCCAGCCAGTACCCGATGAACTGGACAGGAAGGTTGAACAATCAAACGAAGATAGCAACACCATACAACTCGAACCTTTTCCACGTATACCATACCCACCTGACCGATGAGCGCGCCGATGTTGATGAAGAAATAAAAATACTAGTGCAACATGAGCTCTAAATCACAAGGACTGAATGGCATCACATCTGACCATGTAAATTCTAGACGTTGTCAAGCTGGGGTCCACGATCACGCGTTCCCCTGTCTTTGTTACCGAGACAAACATCTTTGTCCGGCGGTACTGTTCCGCCACCAGAGGGGAGATATTGGACTTGAACCCGCCGGCCCCCATGCCGGTGACGATCAAAGAAAGAATAAAAAGACTGACAGAGGCATTGCCTCCGATGATAACAGGTACGGCCGAGATAATCATGATAACTTGGCCAAGCATGGCAATTGCAACGCTCACGCAAACAGTTTTGTAACGACCCCAATAGGTGTCCGCAACGTAGGCACCTGCGATAGGTGTTATGTACGTCCTGAGTAGACGTGAGACGTCTGGTTGTGAGGTGAGCACCCGCTGGGCATTACACACCAGAATTGATAGAAGGTCGTGAGACCCGTGGACATTTGTTGACCTCTTCCAAGAGCACCAGATTGGCCATGCAAACCGCCTGCGCCGGTGGTTGAATTGGGTGGAAGTGGTTGTTGAATGAAATTTACCTGCCACACTTAGTGAGGCACTGTCGAATATTCGGCAAGAACGAAGCAAGACTTACGAAGACCGCAGTTGCACCTATCACGGGAAAGAAAGTTGAAGAGCTGATACGAAAAGTCAAGGAACACACACCATAGTACTACACATGACGCAAAATTCCACAGTGGGTTCGACTTCAAATATCACAAAAAACAAATACTCACAGAAAATCGCTCAGCCAGTCCCACGACGGCGATCACTGCCAAAGTATGTCAGGGGACGCCGGTACATGTACAAGAATAAAAACTAACTGTAAACAGCCCACGGTATGGTGTCTGACACTCTGCGAAGAGTGATGAGCTCTTCCTCGGTTGGAAACTCCGATCCCTCGCGAAGGGGATCAACCTTATCGGCAATTGCATCTGACGTCGTACCCTTCTTTTGCAAAGCATAGTCGTAGGTGATTTTCTCATGACGTTCGACCTCTGCCAAAGCAACAGGAATCTCGCGGTCCGGTTCCAAGCCGGCCATTCTAGACGTGAATGTGGACAATAGTCTATGAGGAACTAGTAGGGAAAGAGATGGAAGTCAAGGAAATACACACGAGGACAGACGATATTCATGCGCGTTTTTTTATTTTAAAGGAAATGGACATATACGCGAAAGGGGGAAGCGAACGTTGCGCTTCACACAAACACTCCCGTGAACACCTCGATTGGGAAGGTCTAATCACGGACTGAGAGAAGGTCCGACTATTCTCCACCGACGGAAGACCCGAGTTACATAACTAGAGGACTGTCATACTGGAATTCTAGACTCGAGGCAAAGAAAGTGCATGCTCACGAATCTTAATTTCTTCCTAATCACCTCCTGGATCTGGCTCTTACGATCTTAGCCCAAGAACTCTACACAGTAGTAGTTGTTTACAGCGAGGGACGGAGTCATGCTCCATCGACCGTGAGGGCCATCAGAGTTACAGCTAAATTGAAAATGAGACATACCAAACCAGCAGAAATAATGGAATGACACACCTTAGAGTCGATGTTTTTTCACCATCCCCAGTATAATCAGTACACGTTACTGCGAAGAGTGAGGGGTATCGTCGGAAGCTAGTACATGCTGAGAGGGAACAGGGCCAAACAAACGCTATGGGTCCACAGTGAGCCTTACACAGGACATGTAACCTCACCTGCAGTTAGCTAATGGAGCACAGATATCCACCTTGTGTCTCCACTACGCCCCCAATAAGACGAAAACTGATTTCGCAGGTATCGCATGAGATTGGATCCGACAGCAGTCAAACGGATATGCCAAGTAGACACCAAAGATACGAATCGTGGCGAGAGATTTGGTCAAGATACACCAACCGGAGAGAGGAGACCGATAACCAGTGATCACCCTCATGGCGAAGATGGGACCATCTAGGAGGAGGCAACGCCCAGGAACCTAGCCCAAGTACCGTCAACACGGCATTCTAAGTCTTACCAACCTGAACAGTCCAAAAAGAGTTCGAGATAGAGGGGACACCTATGTGACAAAGCATGCAGAGGCGAATAAGCAAGACATGTAATCTCACCTGTGCTTTACTACATAATCGGGCGCAGGTACAGTAAACCACTAAGGGACCCATACCATCATGTCGAAATCTGACGAGGCAACGTTTGATCGTCGGAACACAGCGGTGCCTAAAATTCTAGGAAGAGAACCCGACTACCGTGGTGCTGCTGTCACGTTGTTCGCAAAGCAGAAGCTGATTCGCTCGGCACAATCTCCTATGATTAATATTCTGATAGCTCGTCATTACCCCATCCTCCATTTCGAGTTAGATAGCATGTTGTGAACAAACGATGGTTAACGCGTTAATGCGTAATGCCTTACTACCCCTAAACCCGGAGCAACTTCGTCACGGTCACAGTGCCATCAGTGACATCGACCACAACCAACCGACGCGTTCTGTGGCCACAATATTCTGAATCCTCGATCTGGTCCTGCAAGGTACCGGTGCTTCGGCCAATCACAATGATTGTGTTAAAAAGAATGTGCTCAAACATTTGTCAAGTTGAATTATCAAAGCTTTGGAGGAAGGTAAATACTCTGTTTGATCGGTCACCTTGTACCATCAAGGTACTCCGCATTGCCATAAGTTAGTGGTGATTCCGTAATTGCACCCCTGTTCAGTGCAGCTCGTTTTACATCCACCCACAGATCTGACTAGACAGATTTAAAAATTCTCGGGGACCTAACGTTTGCGGCGAGAGTGTCAGCCAGCGCCATATGTAACCATCCCCTGACGTCGCATATTCAGCTAGCATACCGCGTGGCATCACTGTTGTGACATCGAGCACTCTGGATGAGGATATGTCAAAGATGGGTAATGTCCTTTTCGAAACGGCGTTGTGCGTTGGGTAGCAGTCGGAATCCACTGAGCTGAGACCTCATAAAGGTGAGGGTCATGCAATGGTGCCCTAACCGTCTTGGTCCCCACTGTTATTCTTACCATGTTCATTATGCACATTCTGGTACATCTACTCGCGTTTGGCTTGATTAACTTTTATTTAGCAACGGCAACCGTTATTGGGCCACAATTACACCGCGCCCCATCCAAGAATGCCCTAGGTCCCGTCTCAACCATCGAGATCTTGAATAGGGTCATTTCACCGGATGGCTTTTCTCGATCGTAAGTCATGCCCCTGTGAACGTCGGAATGTCCATGTTTTGACACCTTAAAGGGCAGTGCTTGCTGGTGGGACATTTCCCGGGCCTCTAATTCAAGCGCAAAAGGTGCTGTTCATTTTTCTTATTTCCAGCGCATCTGGGGTTAATGCTTCCACACAAGGGTGACGAATTCTTGATCAATGTTACTGACCTACTGAACGATACCTCCATGGATATCACAACAAGCATCGTCAGTTCACGACTAGATGTGCTTTGATGGTACCAGACAAACCGACGCTCTGGATTTTTTACAGCATTGGCACGGCATCCTTCAGCACCAGTCCAATTGGGCCGACGGAACCGCATGGATTACTCAGTGCCCCATACAGCCTACCGGGAGCTTCTTGCATAGGTTCACTGTACCGGACCAAGCCGGGACATACTGGTATCACTCGCACTTGTCGGCTCAGTACTGCGATGGATTAAGAGGACCGCTGGTTATCTATGACCCAGACGATCCCCTTGCTGATATGTATGACGTTGATGATGGTAGGGTCATTTCCTCATTCGTTTGAGCTTAATTGATGATCATCATAGAATCGACCATCATCGTACTTTCTGACTGGTTCGTCGTTGGGATCTTGCAAAACATTTCTTTTAGTTGACTTCGTCCTGTATAGGTATCACAAACCCTCCCCGCTGTTGTACAACCCTCCCTTCACGCCGGATTCTACTCTGATCAATGGACTTGGTCGTTATCCAGGTGGTCCGTCTTCACCACTCGCTGTCCTTAATGTCACACAAGGGCAGAGGTATCGGTTCCGGATTATCGGGGCATCTTGTGACGCATGGTTTAACTTCACAATCGATGGCCACAGCATGACGATTATCGAAGCAGATAGCAACGAAGTGGAGCCAGTAGTCGTTGACTCACTTGCGGTGCATGCGGGCCAGCGTTATTCGGTCGTCGTCACTGCCGATCAACCCGTGGACAACTACTGGATTCGATCTGTGTCCAATTTCCCTAATCAGACCTTTGACGGAGGACTCAACTCGGCCATTCTGAGGTATGGTGGTGCACCCATTCAGGACCCCACGACGGACCCAGGGCCGTACGTTCTGCCGTTTGATGAAAGCACTCTTCATCCTCTTCATGGCAGTGGTGTACCTGGTACTCCTGGGTAAGGTAACGCGGATGTCAATATTAATCTCATCACGGGTATCAACGCTGCTCAGGGAGTGTACACCATCGATGGTGTTGCCTTTGTTGACCCTCCACTTCCCGTACTCCTTCAAATTCTTAGTGGTGCTCTGAACCCTTCACAACTGCTTCCCAACGGGAGTGTCTATGAGTTGCCAGCCAACAAGACGATCGAAATCAGCATTCCGGCAACTGATCTCACCCCGGGGGGTGCACTGGGTGGTCCGGTGAGTCGGCTTCAACGGGATGTGCCCTCGGTGGACTGACTGGAAGCTGTGCTGAATAGCACCCTATACACCTTCACGGGGTATGTTGCATCCTTGTATTGATGTTCAGAATTTCTCTGATACTTGATTACAGCATGCATTTGATGTCGTTCGTGTAGCTGGCAAGAACACCTACAACTACATAAATCCGGTGCGAAGGGATACAGTGTCGCTTGGAAGCCAAACGCAGAACGACAATGTAACTATCCGTTTCACCACCAATAATCCTGGCCCTTGGTTTTTCCACTGGTGGATAGCTTCTTTTTTTTTTCCACCCCATAATTTCTAACCACGGTTTGACTCTAGCCACATTGATTGGCACCTTCACAAGTGAGCAGACGAAAATCGTCTATCCTTCCAATCTAACCAACATGAAATAGTGGATTCGCTGTTGTCATGGCTGAAGCCCCGTTGTCAGCCGGAGTTCAGGAAAGTAAAGCCACTCCAGGTCCGTTATCAAGACTTTCGAGCCCAATAATCAGATTACTAACTTATTTCAGAGTATTGGTACAAACTGTGCTCCTCACAAAGCATCGTAGCATAAGTGCATGACATGGTTCTCATTGGCAGTAAGTATGCACCACACACATCGTAATCACGCTATTACAATATAGCGGATTTCCGGAACTTTTATGTACAGTTGATCAATGTCTCGTCGCCGTCCTCGTGCGCGTAGACATCATATGACTACGAAACCTTTGATAACTACATGCATAGACCCACTAGTACGTTGTGTTAGCATACCTGTAGGGGTGGAATGGAATTGTCTGGGATCACTTTGTATGACACCCATGCATCATTGGAGGTGCCTGCCAACGCTAGCGTTGTCTTTCCTCACCTGGCAAAGCTCCGAGGGAGTTAAATAAGCCCACAGACAGCCGAACTTGGCACGTCAGAAACCGTCTTTCATTGCCTGCATTCAGTACTAGATAAAGCCAAGACGCAAGCATCGCAACCGCAACATACCACGAGGTCAGGAGCTGATTTCGGTGGAGCCGGCACAGATGTGCGCGATTTGTGCAAGTCCACGATTCTCTGTCCCTATCTTTTGTCCCGTTTTTTAGCCACCTGTCTACAACTTCAATTACCATCGTCGTCGTATCGGATGTATCCGACTGACACCGAACGGAACGCTTTGGCTTCTGCTTATATGGTACCTGGAGCTTCTCGCCATACTTTGTGGCGAGCTTCATTTGTCCTTCTGCACGAACGATCACAGCTAGACCATCCAGATAGAGCTTTCCGGGACCCATATCAGAAGCTGAAGTTGGAAATAAGTACCCATGACGAATTTTGCCATCTGTGAGTCGCAGGTCCATAACTCGACAATGAAGAGACGTGTCACAGACCTTACTTGACTGAAGAAGTTTTTCTGGTTGCCTCGTCCATGGTAACAACCATTTTCCTCCTCAAGGAGTCTTTGTATACGCAAAACTATCAGGGCCATTGTTTGCCAGAAATGGGACTTACTGTAGCGCCTTTTGTCAGCCCAATCGTGACCCTCCTATCCACCATGGTACCAAGGATCGTGACTGACTTCGGTAACGTGGGAGCCTGGTGTTGAAGCCACTAGCTGTGAAGACAGGACTATCTGGGATAAGCGCCGCATTATTAAACCCCCAGTGGGTGGTAGGTCGGCCAGGTGGACAGACCCTCCAGTTGATTGCTGATACATGTGACAATCATCAGGACAAGAATGAACGCGATACCCCAGATGCCCCGAGAAGGACTTAATATCATCTCAAAGCGCGTTGATATCCTGTCAGCTGAGCCTGCAGGATATGACTTCTCAGAGTAAAGGTATATCAGGCAACCTCCAGGCATGCGACCAACTTAAAATGATATAGATCACGAACTTTGCTCTTCGCCCCAGCCAAACATGTGGAAAGAGAGCACCTAGTCGCGCACAAGCGGGTGGCCCGAACTCGAAGTAAACGGTGTACAAAGATGCAACACCAAGGAGTCTAGCTGAAGGCCTGTCGATGCGGTGCTGCAGTACGTTAAACTCAGTTGGGCATGCAGACGCCACCACTAACGTGAACGATCTCAAAAAAAACGTTTGAAAACGATGGTATTACAGAGCATGTAGACGCTATGTGACGAGAGTGAGCCTTATGCAGGATACATAATCGAACCTGTGGTTTACTAATGGGGGGCAGACACCCGGCTTATGCCTGCACTAAAAGCCTTTCTGAGCACTAGGCCCCTAACGGAGCCGAGATTACTAAATTTGCACACACCATACGGAATTGGATCCAACAACGGTCGAACGGCTATGCCAAATAGACGCCAGAGATACAGAGGGGATTCGGCCAAGACACGCTGATCGGGGAGAGGAGAGCTGTTCCCGCACCAATGGGTCATGGCCACTACATTTGGTATCCAAATATTGTTACTTCAATCCCCATGGTTGCTCTCTGAACTCCGTTAATCCACGGCAGAGGTGACCTGTGTTGGTCAGTACAGCAAGAAAAGCAAATCGCCGAACCGAACACACTGTCGTCATGCCCGAACCCAAAGTTACATGGGCACCGAGCAGATGATGATATGCCTCGAACACAGGGCTGCGACAGATTCATACTATCGGGCTGAGACAGGTTGAGACCTGAATCGACATGAACTATAGGTCTGACGCGCTGACGAGTCAACGTTCAAGATTTAGCCGCCCGAATGCGGAGGTGCCTGAAAATGTAGATCAGGGCCCGGAGCCGGTGTAGAAAAAGAATCTGATTACCGTGGTTGTCCTACTTTTTGATTGGGCTCTGAGATTTTGTGTAACTGCCCAATAGTAATACCGAGTGGCAGGCCTGTCAGTAATGCTTGCATAAATTAGTCTGCGTACTGCCTCCCAATTACATGGTCATGTATAACTTCCTGTGGCTCCTGGAACTTTCGGACAAGAAGGACACGCGTCCTGCACTTGTAACAATATTAGCAGATGCAGTGATAGACGCGACGGTGTCGCAAATTTCTTGGGCACGTGATAAGAACCTTATAATACATGTTAAGGGTGGCTGTTCACACTTCCGTTATAAGCCATGCCAATGCCACCCATGTGTCATTGAAAGATTGCCAAAAATGGGTATTTGTACATAATATTTTACACATTTGCACTATATCTTAGATAAAATATCACATATTTGCTATAATCTAGCCAAACCTGACCATTATAATGGCAAGTGGTCCATTACATGCTGCTTACAATGGGGGCACGTGACAACGGACCAAATAAATTTGCGACAGGCTTTCGGCGTTCTCCTTTTGTGGCTAGTTCTTGGTAAGTACGGTTCGGATGGATGCACAGTGGAACCTCCGAACAGCCCATGACATCGAATGCAACTAACCATGAATGTGTACCGTGGCCACAAGTTTTTGACTCGGCCCGATGTTTCAATGTCAGTACCAGTCTTTGGACTAGGCACAATGATTGCGTTTGCAACCGTGTGCTCCGACCTTGTTGTGCCTTCCATTTGGGTGGACTAACGAGCTCTGAAGGTAAATAATCTGTACACCTCGGTGACATTGCACCTTGTCCCATCCAGCACGGCCCGTTGTACTTCGCAGCTGTAGTCATGAGACGGTAAGTTTGAAATGTACCACGCGTTTGCGTTGCTGCCCGGTGTTTTGTTTTTCATCCGCTGGCTGATTTGACTCAATGAAGGCGACTGTCAGAGATCCGACGTTCCGGTGAGAGAGTTTCCCCGTGCCACGTGTAACCACTGCCTAACGCTGCGTATTCGAAAAAAAATAGTGTATGGCACGATTGCTGTAATGTCGGGCACTGGAGTTGAGGATACCTCAAGAGGGGTGGTGCTTTTTTTTGTCGAAACAGAATTATGATGCCTCAGCATACGATGCTGCAACAAGCGGCAATCCACTGAACCGAACCATTATAAAGGTGTTCACAATGGAATGGAAAAGTCCTAACCTCCTAGGGTATTTCCTGGTATTCTTACCAGGTCATCATGCGCACTCTGGTACATCTACTCGCGTTTGGCTTGGTTAACTTGTGCCTAGTAACTGCAACTGTTGTTGGTCCACAATTCCACCGCGCCCCCTCCAAGAGAGCAAATGTCCTAGGTCCCGTTTCAACCGTCGAGGTCGTGAATAAGGTCATTGCACCAGATGGCTTTGCTCGATCGTACGTTGACCTTCCTGTGAATATTGGGATGTGCTAATTTTGAAACGATAAAGGACTGTTCTTGCCGGTGGGACATTCCCCGGTCCCCTAATTCAGGCGCAAAAGGTTTGGTTTATTTTCCCATTCCTTGTGTGTTCGGAGTTAATGTCTCCACCGAAGGGAGACGAATTCTTGCTCAATGTTACTAACCTACTAAACGATACCTCCATGGACATCACAACAAGCATCGTCAGTTCACAATTGGACGTTCTTCGATGGCATCAGACAAATTGACGCTTTTTGCCTTTTAGCATTGGCACGGTATCTTCCAGCACCAGTCCAATTGGGCCGACGGAACCGCATGGATTACCCAGTGCCCCATACAGCCTAACGGGAGCTTCTTGCACAGGTTCACTGTACCGGACCAAGCTGGGACATACTGGTATCACTCGCACTCATCGGCTCAATACTGTGATGGATTAAGGGGACCACTAGGTTATCTATGACCCAGATGATCCCCTTGCTGATATGTATGACGTCGACGATGGTCTGGTCACTTCCTCATTCGGCTAAGCTTAACTAATGATGCATCATAGAATCGACCATCATTGTGCTCTCTGACTGGTTCGTCGTTAGTATCTTACAAAACATTTCTTTTAGTTCACTTCGTCTTGTAGGTACCACAAGCCTTCTCCGCTGTTGTACAACCCCCCTTTCACGCCGGATTCTACACTAATTAATGGACTTGGTCGTTATCCAGGTGGTCCGTCTTCACCACTCGCTGTCCTTAATGTCACACAAGGGCAGAGGTATCGGTTTCGGATCATCGGGGCATCTTGCGATCCGTGGTTTAACTTCACAATTGATGACCACAACATGACGATTATCGAAGCAGACGGCAATGAAGTGGAACCAGTGGTCGTTGACTCACTTGCGGTGTATGCTGGCCAGCGCTACTCGGTCGTCGTCACTGCCGATCAACCCGTGGACAACTACTGGATTCGATCTGTGTCCAATTTCCCTAATCAGACCTTTGACGGAGGACTCAACTCGGCCATTCTGAGGTATGGTGGTGCACCCATTCAAGATCCCACGACGGGCCCAGGACCGTACGTTCTGCCGTTTGATGAAAGTGCCCTTCATCCTCTTCATGGCAGTGGTGTACCTGGTACTCCTGGGCAAGGTAACGCGGATGTCAATATTAATCTCATCACGGGTATCAACGCTGCTCAGGGAGTGTACACCATCGATGGTGTTGCCTTTGTTGACCCTCCACTTCCCGTACTCCTTCAAATTCTTAGTGGTGCTCTGAACCCTTCACAACTGCTTCCAAACGGGAGTGTCTACGAATTGCCATCCAACAAAACGATCGAGATTAGTATTCCCGCAACAGATCTCACCGTCGGGGGAGCGCTGGGTGGTCCGGTAAGTTAACTTCAAGTGATCTGCCTTCGGTAAACTGACTGGAAGTTGTGCTGAATAGCACCCTATGCACCTTCATGGGGTGAGTTGCGCCCTTGCATGTTGTATTGTTCAGAATTTAATGAATACAGCATGCATTCGATGTCGTCCGCGTAGCGGGCAATAGCACATACAACTACGTGAATCCGGTGCGGAGGGATACAGTATCTCTTGGTAGCCAAGCACAGAATGACAACGTAACAATACGTTTCACCACCAACAACCCCGGACCTTGGTTTTTCCACTGGTGAGATATCCAATGTTGTCATTTTCATGTTTTCTGACCATGGTTTGATTCTAGTCACATCGATTGGCACCTTCACAAGTAAGTGAAAAGACGAATATCGTCCGCACTTCTGCTCTAACTATGACCAAATAGTGGATTTGCTGTTGTCATGGCGGAAGCGCCATCAGCAGCTGAAGCCCAGGAAAGCAAAGCCACTCCGGGTTCGTCACCAAGACTTTCGAACGTAGTGGTTAGATTATTAACTATATTTCAGAGTATTGGTACCAACTGTGCTCCTCACAAGGCATTAGCAGGTAGCACAAGTGCATACCATGACTCTACCAGCCAGCAAGTACATGCACCATTATATTTGTGCTGTTACGATATGCCGAGTTTTTTTCTCGTAATCTTGCTATCCTTCCACTGTTACCCAACTTGTTCCAGCTGCCCTCGAACTCGCAGATATCCTAGGAGTACAAAATTTCCCTTAATGACTACATACTGTGGACGTATTACACCTCTTTCTGGCTCAACATTGAACGTCTCTCGCCGTCATATGTCCATACCGAAGGCACCTATCAGCGCTGTCTATCCCTGGCACATGGAAACCTCTGAAGGAGCAAAGTCCGCAGATGGATGAACGTAGCACCCCGGAGGTGCTTCACTCGCTGCATTCAGCACTAGAGTCTAGCCACAAAGGCGCACCACTGCCCTCATCACTTTCGTAACCACAGGAAGCCAAATTTGCATTGGCACTCTACCAGCATTTACGACAGGGTTGTAATCGGGGTCATGCGTTTGCAAGCCAGGTGTCAGTGAACATACGTGGAGTATGGTCGGTTGAACCTGGGGGATATGTATGATCACTCACTAAGGTGATGTGAATATCAAGCTACCGGCGCACCAACAAGCTGATTGCAACGGACAATACTTCGTTTGCCGTTCCCACCAAGGCTTCGCAGGAAACCTGTGCAGAACTCTCGTATGAGCCGTGTAGGGGAGTTCCCATGTGTTTACCGTCGATTCCATTCCGTCCCAGCGTATTTGCCAATATACCGGCTCCGTTGGAGACTATTGTGCGTATCCAAGTGCAGAATAACTCGGCTGCCTTTCCCAAGAGAATGGCAGGGACTTCGCGTGTCGTTGCATGCACTGGGATATTTATGATGCCAGAAGTCATACCACGGCACCACTCACTACCATCATCGTGAAGATGAGACTATCTGAGACTGGTACCGAATGATCATTCCGATTATTTTTAACTTCCCTGGGGACGGTAGGCCAGCCAGGTGGACAGATCTCCATGCGACAATCATCACAGCTAGACATGGCACAAACGAAGGTATCACTCGAAGGGACCCAACTCGCCTCTCCCGTTGGAATAGCGGGAAAGAGCCTCACGAGCAATGGGCTGAGACCGAAGCAAGCAGTAAGACGGTTTACCTAACGGTAGTACATCTGCATGTCCAAGTCTTTGTCCGTCTGACCAAGCGTCATGTGGCTGTGTCCCCCTACTCCACTGTCACCACGGCCTCGCAAGAAAGAGCTGGCCGAGAGATATCTGGCAACAGGCGGATATATGGTCACAACATTCATTGTTTCAGCTGGCTGCGTAGAGAAAAGCAGCGCCTATAGCACACGAGTAGGGAGTACGAGCTTGCAGCAAATAGCGTGCGAGGAGGCAACGCCAAAGCACCGTCAATGCAGTATCGTAAGGTATGTTAAAACCATCAGAGCAGGCAGACACCACCACCAGCCTGAACGGTCCCAAAAAAAATTCGAGATAGAGGGACGCTGGCGTAACAAAGCATGTAGACGCCAAGTGACGCGAATGGGCCAGACTGTAATGTAATCTCACCTGTGGTTTACTAACTGGGCGCAGATATTCGGCCTATCACCTCCACTAGAAGACTTCCTGAGCAGTACGCCCCAATCTAAAAATATGTATTATATTTGCACGTACCATTCGCCATCGGATCTAACTGCGGCGAAACGGGCACGCCGAATAGCCGCCAAAGATACAGATTGGGACAGGGAATTTAGCCAAGAAAGATGCTCGCCCGAGTTCGCCAACATTTACAGCTCTACCTCTCAGCTACGCTTAGCAGGGAAGGGAGAGCATCACCTGCACTCATGGATCATGACAAATTGGCTATCACTGTGTTAAATATGCCATTGTTGCCCGAGAATGTGGGCACATGCCCTCGTGGTTATAACTGGCTTGCCAACGAGTAGTGTGGACAAGCCAGGGCTCTTTGAACTCCTGAAATCCGAAGCGGACGTGCCCAATACCTGGTCAGTACGGCAAGAAAGTGTGCCAACGAGACCGGACGATCGTGCATCGTGTCCAAGCGTTGTGTGGACATCAAGCAAGCCATACTGCCAGGTTGAAACCCGCCGAGTCAATGTTTAGCCGTCGGAACACTGCAGTGTCTAAAATTGTGGATTAGGGGCCCAGGGAAAGAATCTGATTACCGTGGTTCTCCTGTCACTTGCTTGCAAACAAGACCCAATATGCTGGCTTCGGGTGCAAAACGTACACGGGAACGGGCATATGCCTGATTCATAAAAGCAATATCTCGATGGCCCCCCTTCACCACCTCATTCCCCATTTCGAGTTAGAAAGTATGTAGTGAACAAATGATGGTTGCACTATGCTTTAAGTTGGCACGTAGGAGGTACATACTTGGCCGCATATAGGTATATATATGTATGTGCTTACATAAATTGGTCGTGCTGGCCCCGCGAGGTAGTTGAACGTTGTTGTTAACCATCAAATCTCATCTTCTATCAATGAGCTAAGTCTGTGTATAGCTCCCTTGGGACTTCTGGACGAGAACGACCTCCGTCTCACACTCGTAAAGGTAGGCCATTAGCTAATGCACTTCTGATGCATTGCCTAAATTATGTAAAGTTCCGGTTCTGATCACATCGGCGATGCATTACGATGGTCCTCCGAACGACGCACCACTACATCGACCACAACCATCCAGTGTGTCCCATGGTCACAATATTCTGACTCCTTGATCTGGTTCTGTAAGGCGCCGGTGTTCGGGCCAAGCACGATGATTAGGTTTACAAGAATATGCTCGAACATGACTGTGCTTTCGTCAGGTTGAATTGTCGAGGCTTTGAAGGAAGGCGAATATTCTGTTTGTCCGGTCACCTTACACCATCAAGGTACTCCGAAGTGCCATAGGTTAGCGGTAATTCGGAAATTGCGCCTCTTTTCAGCGCAGTTCGCTGTGCATCCACTCATGGCTCCGCCCTGACAACAATAAAAATGGCTCTCAGAAACCGGTAAGTGTCAGTCAGCCCGTTATGTATGTAACCAGCTCCCGACGTTGCATATTTGGCTGACAGAGCCCGTGGCCTTCGTTGCTTTTGGAATGGGCGGTGTCCTTTTCGGAACCGTTGTCCATCGGGTAGCAGATGAAATCCACTGAGCCGAGACGTTATAAAGGTGAGAGACATACAAGGGCTTTCTGACCGTCTTGGTCTTGGTCTTCTTCTGGTATTCCCACCATGGTCATCATGCGCACCCTTGCACATCTACTTACATTTGGCTTGGTTAACTCTTACCTAGTAACGGCAACGGTTAGTGGGCCGCAATCCCACGGTGCCCCGTCCAAAAGGGCAAATGTCCTGGGTCCCGTCTCAGCCATCGAGGTAGCGAATAAGGTCATTGCACCAGATGGCTTTCCTCGATCGTAAGTCGTGGCATCATAAATATCGGAATGTCCTTTTTGTTGACACGTTAAAGGACTGTTCTTGCTGGTGGAACGTTTCCTGGTCCCCTCATTCAAGCTCAAAAGGTGTCGTTTATTCCTCGTTCCATGTGCGTCGAGCGTTAATCTGTCTACACAAGGGAGACGAATTCTTGCTCAATGTTACTAACTTACTAAATGACACCTCCATGGACACCACAACAAGCATCGTCAGTTCACGACCTGATGTTTTTTGATGGCATCAGATAAATTAACGCTCTTCATTTCTCAGCATTGGCACGGTATTTTTCAGCATCAGTCCAATTGGGCCTGACGGAACCGCATGGATTACCCAGTGCCCCATCCAACCCAACGGAAGCTTCTTACACAGGTTCACTGTACCGGACCAAGCTGGGACGTACTGGTATCACTCGCACGTGCCGACTCAATACTGCGATGGATTAAGGGGACCGCTGGTTATCTATGATCCAGACGATCCCCTTGCTGATATGTATGACGTCGATGATGGTGGGTTACCTCTTCCGCTATCTGCGCTTCATTAATGACTCATCGTAGAATCGACCCGTTATCGTGCTTTCTGATTGGTTTGTCCTTGACACTTTGTAATGTTTGCCTTGATTCATACCGTCTTGCATAGGTACCACGAGCCCTCTCCTTTGTTGTACAATAGTCCCCCCTTTACGCCGGATTCCTCATTGATCAACGGACTCGGACGTTATCCAGGTGGTCCCGCTTCACCACTCGCCGTTTTTAATGTCACACAGGGGCAAAGGTATCGGTTCCGGATCATCGGGGCATCTTGCGATGCATGGTTTAACTTCACGATTGACGGCCATGATATGACGATTATTGAAGCAGACGGCAACGAAGTGGAACCAGTGGTCGTTGACTCACTTGCAGTTTATGCTGGCCAGCGCTACTCGGTTGTCGTTACTGCTGATCAACCCGTGGACAACTACTGGATCCGATTTGTGTCCGATTTCCCTAATCAGACTTTTGACGGAGGGCTAAACTCAGCCATTCTGAGGTATAATGGCGCACTCATTCAGGACCCCACGACGGATCCAGGGCCATATGTTCTGCCGTTTGATGAAAGTGCCCTTCATCCTCTTCAAGGCAGTGGTGTGCCCGGTATCCCTGGGCAAGGTAACGCGGACGTCAATATTAACCTCATCACTGGTCTCAACGCTGCGGGACTTTTCACTGTCGATGGCGTCAGCTTCGTTGACCCTCCACTTCCCGTACTCCTTCAAATTCTTAGCGGCGCTCAGAATGCTTCACAACTGCTTCCCAACGGGAGTGTCTATGAGTTACCAGCCAACAAGACGATCGAAATTAGCATTCCAGCAACTGATCTCAACCCGGGGGGTGCACTGGGTGGTCCGGTGAGTCGGCTTCGACAGGATGTGCCCTCGGTAAACTGACTGGAAGCTGTGCTGAATAGCACCCTATGCACCTCCATGGGGTATGTTGTATCCTTGAATCGATGTTCAGAATTTGTCTGATACATAAATACAGCACGCATTTGATGTCGTCCGTGTTGCGGGCAATAGCACATACAACTACATAAATCCGGTGAGGAGGGATACAGTCTCGATTGGCAGCCAAGCACAGAACGACAATGTAACAATTCGCTTCTCCACCAATAATCCTGGCCCTTGGTTTTTCCATTGGTGATTGCTTTCCTCTTCTCTTTTCGTATTTTCTGACCATGGTTTAACTCTAGTCACATTGATTGGCACCTTCACAGGTAAGTCAGCTGACGAAATTGCCTGTCCTAGCCTAACCAGTATGAAATAGTGGATTTGCTGTTGTCATGGCGGAAGCCCTCTCGGCAACCAAAGCTCAAGAGAGTAAAGCCACTCCAGGTTCGTCACCAAGACTTTCGAGCCTAATGGTCAAATTATTGACTATATTTCAGAGTATTGGTATCAACTGTGCTCCTCACAAGGCGTCGTAGCTTAAGTATATATCATTATTCTTTTCAGTAGTACTAGCGCGCATTACACCACTCAGATGCTGTCCGTGCTGTTACGATATGCCGGGTTATCGTAATTTTGCTCTTGATTTACTGTCGGACATTTCTCGTTGCTGCCCTCGCGCCCGCAGATATCCTGTGAGTACGGGAAGTGAATACGGGAGGTTCAATGACTGCGTTCCATGGACCCACCTTGTAGGAATGGAACGGAATTGTTTGGGATTATCTTGATATGCACCTCTGGAGGTGCCTGGTGACCAGCGCTAGCGTCGTCTCCAAATTTCGGAAAGTAGATGGACGTGGCAAAGTCTTTTGAGAGTCTCACTGTGTGTCTCGATGCTTACATACTTCAATTAGTGAGACTACGAAATGCCGACAGACTCAATTTTCAATGGTGTCGGTTTCCAAATCCCAACCCCTTTGCACCAACGTCCTCTTCCACAACAAAACAAGGAAGTCTTCATGTTCTGCCGAGCGGTGTTGGGGAACCTCCTCATTCCTTGACCTTCCTTGGGACTTTGGGACGAGCGTGATACCTGTCTCACACTCGTAAGGGTAGGCCACCGGCCAATGCACTAGTATTAGACACGTTGGCATTCCGGGTGTGTCTAGACCAAAGTTCCAGCTCTGATTATCCCCCGGACCCATCACATCGACCACAACTAACCGATCAGCATAATGTGGACACAATATCCTGACTCCTCGATCTGGTGCTGCAAGGCATGGGTGTTCGGGCCAATGCCATAGGTTAGTGGTAATTTTGAAATCGCACTCATTTAGTGCAGCTCAGTGTCCTTCCTGCTTTGTATTCACCCATGCATCAGACTTGATAAAAAATAGAAATGGCTCTTAGACACCCGACGTTTCGGTGTGTCAACCAGCGCCATATGAAACCACCCCCTAACGTTGCATATTCGGAAAGGTAACATGGCCCGTGGCATCATTACTGTGACATCGAACACTCGGTATGAGGATTCGTGAACGATGGACGGATCGTGTCTTGTTCGAAACGACGTTGTCCATCGGCTTACGAAGTAAGCTGTAGCAGACGGAATCCATCGAGCCGAGACGTTACAAAAGTGAGGGTGAGGCCTAACCGCCTTGGCCTTTTTCTGGTATTCTTACCGTGGTCACCAGGCGCACTCTGGCACATCTACTCGCGTTTGGTTTAGTTAACTTTTACCTAGTAATGGAAACTGTTGTTGGTCCCCAATTTCGCCGAGCCCCATCAAGAGGGTAGGTGTCCTAGGTCCCGTCTCGACCGTCGAGGTCGTGAATAAGGACATTGCACCAGATGGCTTTCCTCGATCGTACGTTGTCCTCCTATGAATATTGGGATGTCCTAATTTTGAAACGTTAAAGGACTGTTCTTGCCGGTGGGACATTCCCCGGTCCTCCAATTCAGGCGCAAAAAATGTGGTTTATTTCCCCATTCCCTGTGTGTTCGGAATTAATGTCTCCACCCAAGGGAGACGAATATAACTAACCTACTAAATGATGCCTCCATGGACATCACAACAAGCACCGCCAGTTCACGATTAGACGTTCTTTGATGGCATCAGACGAATTGACCCTTTTTGCCTTTTAGCATTGGCACGGTATCTTTCAGCGCGAGGCCAATTGGGCCGAGGAACCGCATGGATTACCTAGTGCCCCATCCAACCCAACGGAAGCTTCTTGCACAGGTTCACTGCACCGGACCAAGCCGGGACGTACTGGTATCACTCGCACGTGCCGGCTCAATACTGCGATGGATTAAGGGGACCGCTGGTTATCTATGATCCAGACGATCTCCTTGCTGATATGTATGACGTCGATGATGGTATGGTCACTTCCTCATTCGTCTGAGCTTAACTAATGATACATCATAGAATTGACCATGTCCGTGCTTTCTGGCTGGTTCGTCTTTAGTATCTTACAAAACATTTCTTTCAATTCCCTTCGTCTTGTATAGGTACCACGAACCTTCTCCGCTGCTGTATAATCCTCCTTTCACGCCGGATTCCACACTAATTAATGGACTTGGACGTGGTCCGTCTTCACCACTCGCTGTCCTTAATGTCACACAGGGGCAGAGGTGCCGGTTCCGGATCATCGGGGCATCTTGTGATCTGTGGTTTAACTTCGCAATCGATGGCCACGACATGACGATTATCGAAGCAGACGGAAACGAAGTGGAACCGGTGATCGTTGACTCGCTTGCAGTGTATGCTGGCCAGCGCTACTCAGTCGTCGTCTCAACCCGTGGACAACTACTGGATTCGATCTGTGTCCAATTTCCCTAATCAGACCTTTGACGGAGGACTCAACTCGGGCCGTTCTGAGGTATGGTGGTGCACCGATTCAAGGTCCCACGACGGACCCAGGGCCATATGTTCTGCCGTTGATGAAAGTACTCTTCATCCTCTTCATGGCAGTGGTGTACCTGGTATCCGTGGGCAAGGTAATGCGGACGTCAATATTAATCTCATCACGGGTATCAACACTGCTCAGGAGTGTACACCACCGATGGTGTTGCCTTTGTTGACCCTCCACTTCCCGTGCTCCAAATTCTTAGTGGTGCTCAGAATCCTTCGCAACTGCTCCCAAACGGGAGTGTCTACGAATTTCCACCCCACAAAACGATCGAGACTAGTATTCCGGCAACAGATCTCACCGTCGGGGGAGCGCTGGGTGATCCGGTAAGTTAACTTCAAGTGATCTGCCTTCGGAAAACTGACTGGAAACTGTGCTAAATAGCACCTTATACACCTCCATGGGATGAGTTGCACCCTTGCATGTTGTGTTGTTCAGAAATGAATTCAGTGCACATTCGATGTCGTCCGCGTAGCGGGCAATAGCACATACAACTACGTGAATCCGGTGCGGAGGGATACAATATCGCTTGGTAGCCAGGCACAGAATGACAACGTAACAATACGTTTCACCACCAACAAACCTGTACCTCGGTTTTTCCTCTGGTGAGATGTCGTTTTCATGTTTCCTGACCATGGTTTGACTCTAGGTTGCATTGATTGGCGCCTTTAAAAGTAAGTGAAAAGACGAAGATCGTCAGCATTTCTGCTGTAACTATAACTAAATAGTGGATTTACTATTGTCATGGCAGAAGTTCCATTAGCAGCTGAAGCTCAGGAAAGCAAAGCCACTCCAGGTTCGTCACAAGACTTCCGAATGTAGTGGTTAGATTGTTAACTGTATTTCAGAGTATCGGTACCAGCTGTGCTCCTCACAAGGTATTGCAGCATAAGTGGATATCACGGTTCTTATCAGCGGTGGTAGTACGTGCACCTTTATGCTATCCATTCATTGCTACCCTCGCGTATGCAGACATCCCAAGAGTACGAAAGGCTTCATTGACTATATACTATGAACCCACTAGCGCGCGCTATGTTGACAAACTTGTAGGAATGGGATGGATTTGATTGGGATCATCTTGCATGACATCCCTACCAGCGGGAGCGCTGTGTCTCCTTAGCTGGTAAACCTTCGAGGGAACTAAATAAACCCGCAAACAGACGAACGTGGCACTTGTGGAAGTATTACATTGCCTGCATTCAGTAGATGAGTAGATGTAAACGCCATAACCGCAACATACCATGAGTCATGGCCTCAACGAAACCAGCACTGATAGCGCGATATACCCAAGTCCACGATCTCTACCCCCAATCTTTGGCCTACTCTGTGGCCATCCGCCTACATCGTATCTTCGCTGCTGTATCGGATATATTAAATCATTTGTGACTGCATCATCCGAATGTTTTGGCTGCTGCTCGTAGCCCCATACAGTACCCGGAACATCTGCGCTGTTCCCTATCACTCTTGCGACGAGCTTTATTCGTCTTCTGCAGGGACGATCACAGTACTATGGATCCACCCAACGGACAAGCGTTCTGGTCCCTTTGTCAGACTCTGCTGAGGTTGGGACTTGATCATCTCTGATGACGAATTTCCTTATTCGAGGAAGCTTGGATCCCGATTCCCACATTCAAAACGATGTAAGGTATGACGACTTCACACCACACACGACCCGTCCTGCTTACATACCCACTCTCGCAGTGCACAAGTCAACTGATACTCGTTATGGTGCGCGCTGCTAGTAGTGGGGGGTCCCCTTATCCCTTCAGAATTGGGCGGTAACATTCGAGGTAACACCAGGTTCAACATCGCGCAACGGGCTGCTTTCTTCATTCCTCTTGAAGTACCACCCTGAGGAATAATTGTCCACTATCAAGGCCACTATGCGGGGGAAACGGGATGTAACATATTGCTTTCCGTCAGCCCGGTTGTGGCTAGCTTCGGTGCTGTGCCGGGTAAGGAAGGGTTCGGTGTTCGAAGTTACCAGTCGTGATTGTAGGAGCGCAGAATAATAAATAGGCCTTACTAGACATGCAGACTGAAGTCCACACGCTGCGGAGGATCAAAGATCGACGTTGCAAACACTATCACCAGACCAGGTTAGCCCTTCCTGAGGGACATCAAACCTTGCGTACATAATGTAGGTTTCACCTATACAATGCAGGTAAGCCTATCGGCAGTGCTGAGACAATATGAGAATCCTGCTGCGTATGGTGGAATGTACTGCCTAATATCCCGTGCAGGAAGCGAGGAGCCTATCAGTGAACCTGGGTTGTCCACCGACACCATATATATGCTACAGTGTTGTTGCGTCTCTTCCAGATCTAAAGGCACGCTAGCAATGACGTCGATCTTGAATGGCGCAGGGTATATTGGATGATCTGATCGATGCAGTGGAGTGTAAGTACGGCGCAGAGTAAGTACGCTGTTTGGCCTGGACCAGGGAGTACCAAGCACACGGAACCGATCTGTGTCGTAGTTCGGGGTCCATACTTTCTAACATCTTTTTTTCAGTAGATACACTCAGGCTCAGGCAGCGATTTTACAATATAACATACGTGCCTTGGTCCAGGGTGACTGGGACGGTATCAGCACACGTCCAACTTGTCAGGGTCATCATTAAAATCTTGCATGACGTTGACAGCGAGCCGGCGATCTGCTACTCGCCAGCGAAATCACCTTCGAACCTGTTGGAACGTTCTGTACACAGCAGGCTGACCAAGGTGATTGCCACCACCTCGTACGTTGGGCTCGTACCAGACAATAACCCCGTTCTCGAGTCCATCCTGTGTGTGGTATGATCTCAACCCGAGTTAACGTAATCACTAGTCCACCAGTCCTCAATGAATGCGAGTGCATGTAGGTTTGTTGTTGATAAAGTGCCTTCTGCTGCCCGTCGGCGCACAAACAACTACCTTACTAACCGTCAACTAATGTTGTAGCCGCTCCAAATTTCAACCAAAATTGTGCATTACTTACCTGTCGCATGATAGTGCGCCACATCCAAACCACTGCAGCGGTCACCTTTCCACCGCAAGGAACGAAGAATGGAGCCAGTACCGATCTGACACATTATCAAGTTCCCCGACTATTGAATTCTACGGACCCGATAGTTGGCGCGCATTCGAGGCGCTACGCCATAATATCGACCTTGCCAACCCGTGCATGACCTCCTGTGATCCTGTGGGTGGGAAGAGTTCGAACTTCGCAGCGCTGTCCTTCTGCGTCGTGTTGCTTCGGCGTAATTTCGGCACATGCGCAGCTCGACATCATCATGACCATCGTGTCACACATTCGGTCATGTTTGTCTGGTGCTATATGATAGCACAAGTGCATGACACGAGGTCCCTGTGCCTCCGTTGGATGCCAGGATCTCTTTCGCATTCGGTGGAGGACCGCAGCAGATGGACCGCTCCCGCGGAAGTTGGTCTGTCACCCTGAACTTGGATGCCATTCGTTGGGTCGCCATTTAACCAGAGATAGACGCATGAGATGTACACATGAGCTCGCCGTGCGCCACGGGACCACAACAGACCGCCCCTGATTGAACCGTTCCACTAGTAAGTACATACTAAGCACCCTCCAGAATTATGTACTTACCGTTGGGCAGACAACAGCTGTCCATAGCTTATTATGGAGACTTACGACATGTCAAAGTTACGCGCACATGGAAACGGGGAAGTTCATGGATGCCTTTTCCCATCAGAAAAGTGCCCATCTTGGCTGTCTTCCCAAACCGGTCACAATAAAGGATAGTACGTCTAAAGGGATTAGGGAGGTCCTATAACGTTTTAAAGTTCTGTAGTTACTATCATCTCCGCGCCCATCAGATCTAATAACATGTCATCTACTTAAACCACCCGCGGGCCGATGAAAAGTAACCAGTCGATAAAGCTAGTACGAGGTCGGAAATCTGAAAGAGGCCGCTGTAATCTGCCATCCCTAACTAACGGCATACCCAACAGCGCCTCGAGGCCAGATAACACGCATCCATTGAATCCATCCTCAATATTCTCGGTTGACAGTACTTCTAGCATGGAACGTAGCCATAGAAGCCACAACACTTATGGAATCGTAGTTGTCAGTACGTACAACCCTTGGGGGCCACCGCCGGTCGGACGAATGACTGAGCGCTGAGCGTTGATCACCTGTGATCGATCGAACACTAGCAAAGCGCTGATTAGATTAATGGGTCTTGGATCGGACCATATATCGGCTCAGTAGCAGGATCGGGCTGACTGGTACATCGATAGCGCTCTCTCCTCAACACAAATGATACATTCTTCATCGTCAGCCGATTGGGGAGGGCGACGCCAATACCAGACAGACAGTGAGAAAATAGGAGTTGAAGGCGTATATATAACTGAATCAGTTAGGAGGTCTCAAAACTCCGAGCGGCTCCTCGGATCAAGACCCAGATGCCCTCCACCTCACGAAGCCTCGAGACGTGGAGGAAAGGTTTTTCCGCGGATTCAAGGTGCAACAGAATACCTTTCAAAGTACAACTTCCCGACATGCCCGGAACAACTGGACGACAGAAGCGTACAGGGACCGCTATCGAAGCTATGCTTTACCGCAATGAAATTCGAGTGATGACAGGTTGACCGTAGTGAACGGAGGAACGTACCATCGTGATACGGGATGGTGGTCCGAGAGCGAGCATGATACGACTGCTGTCCGGCCTTCGTTCGTGAAGTATAGCTTCTTGGCCATATACGGGTCTGTATGCACAGCATCGAGTTGATGGTGGTGTTTTCTTGCAGTAAAATAGGAGCTGGGAGGTACGCACGTATGCCTTGCGCACGCCACGCATGACGCTTTTAGGATGGGACTTACACGCACTTCACCATAAAAGCACGTCTATCAAAACTCTAATATATGAAGACCCTGTTCATCACTACGTGTTGTGAGATCCAAAGTAGAACACTCACTCACGCTCAACCTTACATGGCATCATGATGCGACCTTGTCTCGATCGCATGTGATAAAATGAGTGCGACTGTGCAGGAAGGGTCTGACGTCCTCTCGCAAAATTCCTCGGAGATCTTGAGTAGGGTAGGGTAGGTGTGGGAGGCTGAGACACGATAGCACAGCTGATATCGCCGAGTTGAGCTATCTGCGGACAAGTGGTTTCGTGGGCACGCCACGCCTAAGGCCTGAAGCCCCCGCGATCAGAAAGACCAATAGACACATAGGTTTGCTTGGCTGGCAACATTTGCGAGTTAGAATGTCTAGTGAGCTGCAGACTAACATCTAGCACGGAACCAATCATATAACACTACTGTGCATCGTGTCTTCGTCAAGCCATCAATTCGACGTAGTAAATTGCAATACGGCCCTGACAATGTGTATCGAAGTCGTCTACAAAGAACATAGTGTGAACACATACCTGAGTGTGTGTGTGCTTACATAGCAGACCTCGTACGGTGTCCACCGGGCCGATGCCACGTATGTAAGACGGGAGTTACCGGGTGTCGTGAGTGATGGTGAGAACTGCCTTCATCTTATGGTTTCGGTTCAAGTTGCCCATATCAGGGCCTGTGGCACAAGAGTCCTACAAACTCAGGAAGAGTAAGTTGGTCTGGCGCTACAGCTGTGAACGGAGATGACGAACTCAATGGAACGAAACTCTCCGGTAGCCATTCAGAGTTTGGCATCTCCATCTCCATCGCCGCTAATAGGTGCTGATGAAATCGCGAAACGGCACCACCAGCGCTTATGGGGATAACGCATTGTCGAAGTCGAGACGAAAACGTAAAGCTCCAGATGCTGGCCTATAGGCATTCGGCTTCCTGCCTATGGGGTTGTAGTGCGGGTTGTATGGTGCCAGTGATCACCGAGTACGTATGAAGAGGGCACAAGTCGTTCAAGCTTTGCAACCGCACCTTTCAAATCGGCGGTTGTCGAACATGGGAGCCTGGGCCTACCGGCTCTAGTCCGAGATTGCATTCCGGTCGAATTTCATTCTACACAGTGTGGTCGATCGCGAGTACGTGTTAGTCAGCGCAGCGCATGGACGCATATTTTCCCCATAGGTCGGCAAATAGGACTGAGTCGCGGTTGAATGGTTCGCTAGATCGCCGTATGTGACCGGAAGCCATGTGCGTGCATTGCCGGGGCCACGACGTGGAGTTGTCCTAATACTGTGCATACCTTAGCTATAGGCGACAGGCGACTTTCTCGTTGCCGAACCCGCACGCCCCTCACTGTAGTCGAACCGGCATGACCACTCAACTGCGTATTTATTTGTTCCAAACAGTTGAACCGACGGTTGCGAATGCTGTCCGAGATCACGGAAAGGAATGTAATCCAACAAGGGAGGATCTAGAGTCGCGCCCGAGATGAACGACAGAGAGAGACTGGAGAAATTCGTTTTCCAAGTCTACGATTTTCGGCAGGTGCATTCGAGTATCTGGTGGTGCGGTCGGACGTTCTGTAATCATGAATCCTGTGCCGCGTTCTTGAGGCCAGCAATCGAGCGCTGCCGTGTACACCATGGTATTCAGCGTTCCTTTTCTTTGCAAGATCAGGCTTCCGTTCCATATTCAATTCATCCACATCCGGTATCTCGTTTCTTATGATCCTCCGGTTCCGTCGCTTCACACAAGATTAGATGACGATTATCCATACCCACCCTACCGCAGCACCCGGTTATATCGACGAGTGAGAAATCTATGGGAATCGTAGGATAGGACTGCACGGATCAGGAGAGTATGCACCGATCATAATGCAAGGCATGTTCCGTGCTTATCAATGCCTGACTAGTATAATTTTAGGCCCTGCATTCAGCAATGTATATACGTGTACCCCCACCAGATAGGCCGACTGCGCACTTGGTGCAGGGTGATAGTTGGACCCGCGAAGAACTGGAATACATACAAGGTAAGGTCTATCGGTCGTCGTATCGCGCTGTTCAAATAGGTTATAGTTGTATTTACTAGACGCGAGTTCCTCCATTATTATTACGGGAGCCCCGAGGCACGTGGGCTGACATTCGCAATTTGCGATGTCATGATTGGATATACTGCGCCCACAATGAGGGTAACCCTGTGGATTGACGAGATTGTGGGCTGAGGTCCATACATTCGCGGAAACCGAAACCATTTGCTTGGGTTCGGTGTGGGTACGTACTGCGACGGGTTGGTATCTCACCGCGGGGGTCTTTGACTCCCCATGAATGACAGTGAGATGACATGACAATTTTGAAATCAAGTTAAATTTCCATTTGTTGTGATCAGGGATTTGAGTTAGGAAAGGACGACGTGAAAAGGGGAAGGGACTTGAAAGGGTCACCCTGAAGAGCCAACATACCACCGCCCCTGCGGGACGACCGGAAGAGTTTCAAACAGTTGAAACAACGGTAGAGGGACAGGCTTCCGGTGAGTCTGGGAGAGCAGATGCGGCGGCATTTTCGGGGCCCTTGGCTCGTGGCAACAATACGATTTTCAAATGGGGCAAACTCCCAACATGGCGGGCGTCAGTTAGTTGCGATCTGCAGTTAGAACCAAGTCGGCGAAATGTAGTAGCGAGATCGCAGTACACGAATAGTGATAATTCCGACTTTCTCTGGGCATTGGCAGGGTCTGTGCTACACCAGGTGCACCACCAATCCTCAAGATCACAATCTCTGTTACGGATTCCAGAGAGTCCATTCTACAAATGTACGATATCAGAGAAAAGTGTGCGACACCTCATGCCTCGGAGAAAGTTCCACGTGCAATTACAGGGGCCTCGGGGGGAATTGCAGGCTGTCTCGCGGTTGCGGCGTAGCACTGGCAGGTGGTGAGCTATTAGGGCCGGATCTCAGATGGCATGTGTGCTAAAGGCAAATCCCTGTGGTGCGAGACGTCGCAGGAGTGGGTCATGGGGGTGGTGAGCACCTGACAGGTGAACCTCAGATCTCGTGTCCTCGCTGAGTTGGATGTTGAATAGGGAATGGTTCCTGCGGTCTGGATGGTGTCGGCGGATTCGGCTAGGTGAAGCTAGCGAAATTACTATGTAGGGGCAGTCCACTATGGCTAGTAACATACATTCGTTCTGATATATGGGAAGGGAATGTCAAGGATGATCTGACGATCACTATGGGGAAGAAATTGAAATTGATGCCAGACAATTTGGAAGTGGCTGGAGACTACTACTAGGAAATTGGACGTCACTGCTAGTAGCAATCCCCCTTGGCGAGCGCTGTGCATGCATGGGCAGTGATGGCGGACGGGGTACGGGGAATATGTGTCCGTAGCAAGGACGGCTAGCGTCAGCCGACGGTGGCAGTACCGGGGGAGTGTGCCGCTGTGTGCCGGCATGATCAAAGGGACGGGTGGTGTTTGTGTGTGTTTGTGGTGTGATCGGTCTGTGCAGGTGGTTTATGTAATCGTGGGAACTCATTCCGATAATGGCTGCGATTGGCCAGCGGTGTTGAGGGTCTGAATATTAGAGGCCACGAAACCAGCGACCCGGGACGAGAAGCACCTCGACTTCCTCTCTCTCTCAGCCATCCTTGTCATCCTCGTCAACAACTACGTCCCCACCGGTGTATACCATTCTACCGTACATCTCCCCTTGCATCCCTCTGTAATCTCATCTGTACACCTATCTTACCCCCCCGCAGTCATGCACTCTACTTCACAACCTATTGCTTGCCAGCCCCCTAATCCCTCCGACTTCCACATGTTCCCAGAACCATTCGCAGTCCCAAACAGCGCCATATCAGCCTCCTACTTCATTGGCTCCCCCATCTCTTGGAAGCCGGGTTCGTTTGGCAGCCGATTCTACCCCGGCTGCTCCCCTGGCCAGCTCCTCGGCCCACTCGAGTGAGTCGTTCAACCTGACACGACAACGCGACCCCACTGACACCTCCCACAGTCCCAGTGACTTCAGGTGCGACAAGATGTCCTCTTCCATAGAGAGCGACCGAGGTTCTATCCTCAACGCCGCACTCGGCGCCTTCGATCGCGAGGACGAACTGGTGAGTCAGCATTCCTCCCCCTCGCTCCTCACTCGACTCATCCCCCTTGGATGCAGTGTAAGAACTACTCTTGCTGCGGTCTTCAGATAGACGACCTCCATGGCCTCGTACAGCATTTCGAGGAGGTCCATGTCGTCGTCGTCGACCAGTTTGGCCAGCCTCATCCAAGGATGGCCGCACAACCCGTTGCCCATCAACCGCAACCTATCCGCACCCAGCACATCTCATACTTCCCTGAGACGAGTACCCAGCCGCCCGCGGCCTCTTACAATCAAGGCGGTTTCGATCCAGATGATATGGAGCTTGATGTCGATCACTCTAGTTCACCATCTTCGGGTGGCCCGACCCCACCCGATACGCCCCTTACAACGCCCCTGTCGTCACATCCGTCACACTCGTTCCCCCACTTGGGCAAGGATGGCTCGCAACATATGCTTGTTTCGGCGTTTGACACCACAACCATACCAACGCGTTCCATACATGGTCACTCGATAGCGGTGTTCCCACCATCAAGGAATAGCCCTTCTAACAACACGGAACCATTTAATGGCTACGCGGGTTATTCCGATTACTCGTCATCTATGCCTGGCGCCGCTCCACTGCCCGTATCTGACGAACACCTCCCCGTTGCTACTCCTAGCGCCCAAGAGCCTGCCTAGTCCGTACAGTTGCATCCCTCCCGCCCTTGTGTTTTCTGCGACCAATACTCCCACGAACACACCCACCGCCTCTCGTGTACCGTCACCATCGGGTAGCACTCGCAGTTCCGCCCCCTCGACTACTCAGTCGTCGAGAGATTCCTCCGCCCCTTCCAAGGCGACGTCCCAACAAACGAGTCCCCGTGCAAGTATAACCCTTTCTCGTCCCGCATCATCACTCCTGCTATCGAAGCCGTTCCGTTGCCCGAAACCTAATTGCAACAAGAGTTACAAGCAAGCCAATGGCTTGAAGTATCACATGACGCATGGCAGTTGTAACTTTGCGCCGCCGAAAGACCTCGAGCAGGTGCAAGCGCTACTTGCCAGCAAGCGCTCCGCTCGGGAAGCCGCAGGAGATGAGGACAATATGATCAGCGAGGGTGAACTGCGTGAAGTGGAACGTGAAGCAGAGCGCCGGCTTCGGCCATTCGCGTGTGGGATTGGTGACTGCCAGCGGCGGTACAAAAACATGAACGGACTGCGGTATCACTACCAACATTCTGGCGAGCACGGGGCGATTGGCCTGAGCCTACTTGCGAGCGGACAGCACGAGTGTCTGCAACACGCTCACAAGAACTCGAGCGCCGCAAGTTCGCGACAGTCGACACCGATGGCTAGTGGCCAGACAACACCTGTCACTCCCTCGACGCCGACGTACGCTCAGCAGTACCAACAACAGATGATGTATACCTCTGCCCAACATCAGTATATGCGAGCTCAGCAACAAGCTATGCAGATCCAGGTGCAGCTGGCGTACGCGGCGTCTGCTGATGCCACCGCTCAAATATGACGTCGTCCGGTTTGGGCTAATTCTGGAGTTCACCGTGGATGATATCTGGCAGTTAATACTTTGTCTTATCGGTGGGGTTTTCTGTCTCATGCGACCGGCTGCCTGGTACCCCTCCTCTTACGTTACGTGGTGTATCTACACCGCGACGACTGCGGAGTTCACTCCTTCTGGTATCAAGGTGCTAGGTCTTGGATGCCCGTCGATTCAAAAGTAGTGCTTTAGAACATCGAATTCTGTTTATTTTTTGGCTTCTCTTCTCGTCTCACCGCTCTGCTTCTCGCTTCCAACTCAACCCCTCATCTGATCCTGCTTTCTTCGTTTTTTTTTTTTTTTTTCGGTCTTGTCTTTTACTATAGTACTGCACATGCTCAGCCTCCATCATTCTCCCCGGTCGTCCTGGTTCATTGCGATTGCACTCCGGCACTTGCGCTACCTTTCCTACGCTACATTGGCGTTGCTATCTTAACTCGGGCGGCACCGACATCGCATTCTCTTGCTATTGACGGTTCGTTCTGTAAGCGCCCCCAAAAGAAACACGAATCATCCTGGAGTCAATATACGATTTGCGGCAGGCTGCCCTCCGACCGCTTCTTCGCCACCGTCGCTGCTAATTCTAGAGGAGGGCTAATAGTCATCTCCCCTCTGCTGTATACCTTTCTTTTCGCCATCACCCTCATTCTGAACGTGTCAAAACCCTCGTCAGCAGGCGGGCCTGCAGGACGGCGGTGGGAAGAAGTAGTTTTCGCACTGACCTATATACATACCGTACTGATATATGTTAGAAAGAACCGAGTTGTCGCCTTTCCGTTCGATCGTGTATAGAATGTAATATTCCAGTCGTAAGCCTGATGCAGGACACCTGGATGGTGATTTCCGGATATTGTAAGGATGGCACAACGATAGATGCCGACAGCTCGGAGAAATTTGGCTGTGCGACATTTTTGACACCTGTACTTACAAAGTTGCAATTTGATCGCGGTGATGAGGGACATTTACTCCTGTCGATCAAACGATCTGCAGTAGCACACACTTCCAACACTTCACTCATGTCACTACAATACCCGCATTGGGCCTGGCCCTCGGGAGCCTTCGGGGCATTTTTTGGCAGAGGGATAAATAAATTGCGCACACAGAAAGACACTTCCTCAAATCCAGCTGCGCATGGAGATGGCGGCCTTCCAGTTTCAGCCACTTCCCACATTGTCATGCGTTGCGATGGGGCTGGGGGCCCGGAAAACGCCAGGCACACTTAGACTACTTCCAAGAGATAGGGGGTATTAAATTTGGCGCCACGTCACAATGTGAAATGTGAGAGGAAACTCGCGACCATTCATGTCTTCGAATAACACTTATTACAGCTTCGAATACATATGGCAACGGTAGGGTAGACTTCATATGGTATGTGAGCCTTTGTGGACGGCGCCCTACTGCGTCACACGGAATTCTTGCGGGTCATGTCGGGTTGTTGAATGTATTGGCGGAGGTCGTGTGAGGGGGGGATGAACTATGAGTTCTCGACGTTGGAAAAGAGGCACATGTCAGCGTGAACATTTGAACATTGTATATATGCTGTTCCCGTCAACGCTCGCAGCAGCGTCGGAGGTTTTACAGTATGTGCCTGTGCAGCGCAGGAGTAGAAAATCTGTTTGTCATATGTATATATATCGTGGCAAGCCACCGACGAGCCCGCGTGGATGTTCATGCGGTGCCCGCACGCCTCCTCCGCGACAGAGGGGGACAGTTTCGGGGTGAGGAACTGCCAAGTTGGTTCGTAGACGTTCAAACACCACTTGCGACTCCGTCAACCCTGTCCGTGGATCGTGTATGACGAAGTCTGAGAATAATCTTTTCGCGTAGGTGCCTTGATGCCTGGCCAACTGGTCCATGCGCCATATCATGAAGATCAAGTTGGGACTGTGGGCATTCCCTGTTAATTCATATTGATACTTTGGGGTCGACGTCGGGTTCGCACTCGTCAGATCTCTTGACTGATATGCTGTGCTCGAATAGACTTGCGAACGCTGACGGGGAGCGCTATTACGGAGCGTTCTACGCAGGCACTGCGAGGAAAGCAAGCATGGGAACGCTGCGCCCTCAAAGAGTGTGATACCTGCTGAGGTCACATAGAACATTTAGACTAATTGGTAGAACAGATGAGTGCCATGTCCAAATCAATGGTTCAATATTCAATACCGACCCGTTCCACCGGTAAACAGAAATCATTCGTCTAATGATCGGTAACTTTACAAAGGCTTGTTCCCGAAGTGTTTGCTTGAAGTAGATCCGAGTCGGAAGCTGAGGTGACGCCCTTGGGTTAGGACGACTTGAACTTGCCTTGTGGCACTACCCGGAAGAGAACCCACCGGACCGATGTGACGCTCAATGCGGCGGACAAGTCTAGCAAGGTACGTAATGGCGGCCAGCCTAGTAGCCTTCACACGTCCCGACACGGCGTAGTACGTACGCACCGAGGCCACCCTTTGTCGTTCGGTGGGAAGATCACAGCGTCATCAAAAGATGATATACGTGTGTGGGAGGTGCACCATGTATGGTTTGGGTTCAGTGGCTAGCACTAACATTGACACAGGGAATTTTCCACTATATAGTACCCTGTTATATGTAAGACAATATGTCAATCTCACACTTAGAGTACAAATTTTTTCAGTATGCCATCACAAACTTGAAGTTTAGATCCTTTTCCATGCATTTGCTCAGTTTTGAAGGATCTAAACTCCAAGCTAGGGATTCCATCGCAAACTCTAAGTGTGAGATTGACATACTGTACTATATAGTGGAAAACTCGCTGTGTGATGACACACTGTCACTATCCGAACTATATCCTCAGGTTGATGCCACTCCACTTACAACCATCAAGGCAGCTTAACGACAATTCTATATGACTCCTTTATGTGAACGCCTGTAATCTCCGTGGTTGGCATACCTGTGTCATCGGCCAAGCCAGAATGACCAGGGAATAAGGGACTCACATTCCCAAATGGGTTGACCTGGGATGCTATGTCGATGTAAGGACTACTTATTGGCACACCGGGAACGTTGATAGTGGACTTGGCAAACGCACCATTAATCGTCATCTAACCAAAGGAGGCGAGTACGCGGTCTTGCCAAAGTGGCACAGCGTTAACTTTATTTGCTGTTAGGTTTCATCATGTGTTCTTTCTGGGCGCCGATTCAGCGCGGTGGGCAAAAATCAGTAATACCTCGCCACTGCATGATCTGTAGGGTGCGGGTGGACCTGACAGCTGTGAGGAAATCTCACCTTTGCTATGGAAACACGCCCGTGACCATTGCCCTTATGTGCACCTATCCCTTTCCACCTGATGTGGGGATTAATTCCAGATTACCTTGTGACGCGCATCGAGACCCAGATAGCCCGAAAACTCGGAGGCCACGATGCTTCGTGAACGTATTAGCTCGATCTCCTATTCATATGCTCTGTCAGAGGCGGGGTTCCGTTCTTCTTCCTATTATCCCAGCAGTTGGGTGGATGCGGGTAAATCAACAAACGAATATATCTACGACGATCATCGTAATAGGGGCTTCAGGTACACTGCTTTCTTGTTGGTTGTCCCGTACCCCTTTCGCGAATCGACAACGTGGCGTGGGGGACGGGTTGCATCTCACCTTGTATGATGTAGCCTCTTTCATATCTCGCTGCGGTTCACATTTCACTTGGATTGCGGGGCGCTAGCGATGGGTGTACTGACGGTCTCATTCGCAAGTCGTGTTCATTCCCACTTATTGATTTTGCGATCAAGTGTTGAGTGCCGTATAAAAGTGATTGCGGTTCGTGCCATCGGAACACGAGTACATGTGACGTGTGATGCACTCGATGGCTTAAGCGCTTACTTCTCCTTGTGGTGTGTCGTAGTATCGACAATTGTGTAGGTTCCTCTGCTCGTTACTATATGGTATCGCAACTTCCTATTCCACAAAAAAAAATTTTTTTTCCCGGGGAACCTATGGTATACCCAACGCAATGGGAGTGGCTTGTACAGCTATTGATAGGTGTGTGGCTTCATCGCAGGGGTACGATACATTTTGCCGTGGTTTGATGGCGTAGACTAGCTCTAATGGGTTCGTAGATATGCTTGACAATGGGACTTCAATGCGAGACCGCTGCTTATGGAGTGACCGGGAAGCCTACGTCCAGGTGATCTTTGTTAATGTACTAGAGATCTTTTTTTTTTCTTTTTTCAAGACCTGTGCCATCTTTCTTATCATTTCACGGGACCGGGATTATCGTGACCTGTGCGATTTATATTGCGGTGAGTCGGAATCACCTCTCGCTGTGTAGGCATGAGGTCGTTGGCCCACCCCACATATAGCTTAACAAGCAAAACAACAGCGAGAGCCTAAGGTAGCTCTCGAGTCTGGGGAGTCCACACTCGAGGAAGGCTTGTTGACACACAGGAACTCAGTATCTGAAGAAAGACCAGTAAAGATCAAGGAGAGAGCACTACAAGATTTATATACCACTACAGTTATTTTGCTAAATCATCACTCTAGCGGCCATTGGTTCCAGCGGTTACTTCGATGAGTGATACCTACTGCATGGAGTTGGTACTGTATATAGTGTCCCTGATTCTGCACAAGAATAGATAATGAACAAGTACATTGCTTCTACTGCTCGCAACCGTAGTACTGGTTCAGCTCGCGAAGTGTTTGCTTGAGGTGAATCTGAGTCGGAAGGCGGTAGTTGAGGTGCTGCCCTTGAGTGGGGGACAATCCGTTAGACTGATCAATAAGTTATGACCGCTACAGCGGGCGGCCTGGCCTTCACACGTCTCAACACGGCGTACGTACGCATCACTGTCATTCGGTGGGAAGACTGCAGTCACGAAGTGATACTGTACGTGTGGGTTGCACCATGTCTAGTTTGAGTTCAGTGGCTAGTACTAACATCGATTAGTACTGCCTCTAGGGTTCGAACTATCCTCTGCAAGCTGATGCCACTCACAACCATCAAGGTGACTTAACGACGGTTCCACACGAATGCTTCGTGTAAACGTCTGCAATGTTCGTGATTGACACGCTGACTGGACTCCGAGACGGGTCCTACATTCCCAAACAGGTTGACCTGCAATACTATGTACTCCCAGAAGGAAGTATATATTTGACCTGGCCCGTACCATCAGTGGACTTAGCAAACACACGATTAATCGTTATCTAACCAAAGGAGGCGAGTAGGAGCCGTGTGAGTTTGTGATAATGCGGTCTTGCTAAAGTGGCATGGCGTTAACTTTATTGGTGGTAAGGCCATGATCAGTAGGGTGAGAGTAGACGATTTCCACCTCTGCCAGTGAAGTTCTCGTCTGGCAATTGCCCTCCGAGCTACTGCCATTTCGCTGGTGCCACAGGCCTCGTTTAATACGCTGTTACTAGAGCGCGATCGTCTTCTGCCTCGCGGTTCAATGGTCGGGTTCTTTTGCTGCCTGAGCTTCAGTGTTTGCTTCGTCCGACCACCTCTCGCGAGTTGACATGGGGAATATCCCAAATCAACTTCCTTGTGAGGCGAATGGAGACTCGGACAACCTGAAAGCTTTAGGATTTTCGAAAGGCACGATGCTTTGTGAACGTATTAGCTCGATCTCGTATCCACGTGGTTCGTCGGAGACGGAGATCTGCTCTTCTCTCTATTTTACTTGACGGGCCAATCCAAATTGCATTCCTAGGAGCTCGGTGGACGGAGTGAAAGATGCACCAAACGAAGATGTTTATGACGATCGTTGTGGTAGGGACTTCAAATGCGCTGCTTTCAGGTGTTTCGCAAGTAGACAAACATAGTAAGTTTACGAATTCATCCTTCAGGGGTCTGATCGAGGTTTTGTCTTCGTGCATTGGGATACAGCACGATGGCAAAGGAGAACTCATGAGGATAAACTCATCGGCTCTGTCGGTCGTTTTGGCACAGTTTCGTGAGAGATGTCTTTTCTATACGCCACTGCATGAGTAATCAAGCGCACGCTCCAACTAGCAGCCGGCCCGTAGGACCCATGGACACAGTAAAACTCAACTGATAACACAGTGATCACATACAAGACGACCATGAGCACGAGCTCGGAGAATGCGTACACTGCCCTTGCACAAGATCCTGTCCAAGAGGGTATCAACGTGCAGGGGTCCAAGACGACAACTAGGTGGTACATGATCAGGTTCTTTCTGCCATACGCGTTTGTCCTTAATACATTCCAGCATGATGCAGTGGAGAGAGTATCATAGCACCATCCAAGGGAACATTGTCGGATGCGTGCGCAGCAATATCGGTCTTCTACTCGTCATGCTCTCGCAGGTGTTCTTTTCGTTCATGAACGTCGCCGTCAAAGTATTGAACCAGTTAGACCCACCGGTTCCCGCGTTTGAGGTGAGTGGTACTGATATTGCCGTCCGGCACTTGGCTTGATCTACCTGCGTTGACGGCCTTGTAGCTTGTGATCGTTCGCATGGTATAGTGCTTGCCCTTGATTAACTCCTGTCGCGCTAACCTCGAGTGTTAGGCTATCACGTTCATTTGCTGCGAGATATACATGTGCGGCTTCCAGTATCAATGGCGTCTTCGGCTGACTGTCAACTGCGTGACGTAGGATTGCCGCAAGGATTCCGGATCCGTTTCTTGGACCGAAGGAAGTTAGGCCGCTCTTGGTGTGTCGAGGCGTTGCTGGGTAGGCTCGGATTCCAAAGGCATGAAACAGAACCAATGAGTGCGGTAAATTTTTAGATTTTTCGGGCTCTTTGGCATTTATTATGCACTCCAATACCTCTCGCTGGGAGACGTCACTGTCCTGACTTTTGTCGGGCCTATATTCACGGGAATAGCAGGTCGTCTGTTTCTAGGGGAAACCTATTCAAAAAGGGAGGCTGTTGCGTCATGTCAGTGCCTCCTGTAGAGGTATTTGCTTGTTTCACTTACAGTCAGCTGTGGTGCAGTTTGCAGTCTCTTTGGTGTCGTCTTGATCGCGAGGCCCCCCTTTCTGTTTGAAAGTGCCAGAGATCCAGAACTCGAGGAACCTACAGTATATGCTAGCGCGGGAGACAGGTTCCGTGCCACCTTGTATGATAGGGTTTCCTTCATGTCTCGCTGCGGTTCACGTTTCACTTGATTTCAGGGTGCTAGTGATGGGTATAACAATAGCCGCATTCGCAAGTGCGTTCGTTCCAACTTATTGATTTTGCGACTAAGTTTCGAGTGCCGTGTAAAAGTGATTGCGATTCGCGCCATCGGAACACGAGCACACGCAATGCACTCAATGGCTTACTTCTCCTTGTGGAGTGTCATAGTGTCGACATTTGGGTAGGTTCCTCTGCTGGTTACTGTATGGTGTCGCAAGCTCCTATTCTGTAGATTGTTTTTTTCCAGGGAATTTATGGTATACCCAACGCAGTGGGAGTGGAGTGCACTGCTGTTATTGATAGGTGTGTTTGGTTTCATTGCACAGGTATGATACAATTTGCCGCGGTTTGATGAGACAATTTAACTCTAATGGGATGACGGATCGCAGATGTGCTTGACAATGGGACTTCAGCGCGAGACCGCCGCTCGTGGAACGATGGGAGTCTACGTCCAGGTGATCTTTGCTAATGTATTAGAGATTATCTTTTTCAAGACCGTGCCAAGTTTCTTGTCACTCCTTGGGACCGGGATTATCATGACTTGTGCGATTTACATTGTAGTGAGTTGGCATCACTTCTCTCCGTTGCTTGGTATGGGGCCTTTGACAGGCCCAACCTGTAGTTTACCAAGCAGAAGCAAGGTCAAGAGCCCAATGTGGCTCTCGAATCAGGGGAGCCCTCACTCGAGGAAGGCTTGTTGACGCACAGAGACTCAGTGTCTGAAGAATGACCGATAAAGATGGAGGAGAGAGAGCGAGAACCCTAATTTTTTATCACTGAATGCAATGGACATCCGGTCATGTATGTTTTCCAAGGGCGGCCTGCGCGAGATGCAGGCACACCATCACGAGTTCACCCGCCCAAGTACCCACGTAGAGTATGGTAAATGGAACTACCACAAGACTTACAAGCTGCATGAAAAGATTCGCATCATTCAAGCTGCGTACAAGTCTAACGGCACTCGCAAGTCTGCGAGTCGGGGATATTGATTTCCAGCTGTGACGGTATCAGGTTCCCGACTTCAAAGGATGGACCGATTGGGCCAAGGCTAGAGATGTCCAAGCCCCCGGGACATTTTTGGCAGAAGGGTAAATAGTTCGCGCACACATAAACCTTCTTCAAATGCAGCTGCGCATGGAGATGGTCTTCTAGCTCCTTCCGGTTACAGCCAGTTCCCAGAGGAAACTCACGACCATTCATGTCTTCGAATAACTTATAATAGCTTTGAATATGACAACGGTAGGCTTCATATGGTATGTATGCACCACGTTTGTCTTCTCTTGTGAACTGCGCGCTACCGTGCCATGCGAAATTCTTGCGGGTCACGTCGGACTGCTGAACAGTATTGAAGGAGGTCATGTGAGGGCGGAATGAACAATGAGTTCTCGAAGTTGGAAAAGAGGCAGACAACGTGAACGTTTGAACATTAATGTTATGCCGTTTTGTTATGCCGTTCGCATGAACCCAGGCAGCACCGTCATGTAGTGCCTGTGCTGTGCAGAAGTAGAAATTCTGCTTGTCATATGTATATCGTGGCAAGCCACCACGAGTCTGCGTGGAGACGTGCGGATACAGTGAATGTCCATGCAGTGCCCGCACGCCTCCTGAAACAGAGGGCGACAGTTTCGGGGTGAGGAACCGCCTAGCTGGTTCGTGGATACTCGGACACCACCTGCGACTCCGTCAACCCTGTTCATGGATCGTGTATGACGAAGCCTGAGAATAATCCTTTCCCAAATGTGCCTTGACGCCTCGCCAGATAGTGGTCCACGCCACATCAGCCGACGTTGGATTCGTACCCATCAGGTCTCTTGACTAACATTGCTGTGGCCGGATCGATTGCAAACGCTGATGAGGAGCGTTATTATAGAGCATTTTACGCAGGTCCTGCGAGGAGAGCAGGCATAGGAACGCCGCGCCCTCAAGCCATATGATACCTGTTGAGGTCACATGGATACTTAGACTAATTGGTAGAACATACGAGTGCCACGTACCACACCAGTGGCTCGTTCTAGCGGTAAGCAGAAATTATTCATCTAATGATTGGTCATACTCGGGCCCGTTCATGAATTCGTGCTTAGTTGAGGTAGATCTGAGTCGGAAGGTGGAAGCGCCGCCATCAAGTGAGCACAACTCGCCTTGTGGCACTATGTGGAGGACAACTGGTAAGTGGGTCATGACGAGCAAACATTCACTGCAGCGGACAGGTCTAGAAAGATACGTAATAGCGGCCAGCCTAGTGGCCTTCACACGTCCTCGCGACACGGCGTACGTACGCAAGAAACTCACCGAGACCACCATTGTCATTCGGTGGGAAGACTACAGCGTCGTCAAGTGATAGTATGTGTGAGGTACACTACGTATGGTTTGAGCTCAGTGGCTGGCACTAACATTGTTACAACCATCAAGGCGGTCAGACTTGAAACTCTATACGACTCCTTCATGTGAAGCATCCGTAATGTCCGTGATTGGGATATCGCTTTATTCTGCGGTAGTACCTGGAGACGGGCCCTACACTCCCAAACAGGTTGACTTGCGATACTATGTACTCTCAGAAGCAGTGTATATTTGATTCGGGCCGTACAATCCGCACACCAAGAACGTTGGTATGGGACTCGGGAGACACGATCAATCGTGATCTAACCGAATAAAGTGAGTAGGTTTGCGGGGACAACTTGTATGTTATGACATGGTCCTGCTGAAGTGGCACGGCGTCGACTTTATCTGCGGTTAGGCTTTGTTATATAATCTCTTGCGCACCGATTCAACACAACGGAAAATTCAGTACTACATGCCCAGATACCCTACAAAGTGTTTGGGTTCTTTTACCGCCGAAGCTTCGGTGCTGTTACGTGCACGTATCCCTTTCCAGCTGATGTGGGGAAATACATAAGTATTCCAGATTAATTTCCTTGTGATGCACATTGAGACCCAGATAGCCCGAAAACTACAGGATTTTTGGAAGGTACGACGCCTTGTGAACGCATGATGACGCGGGATTACTGCAAGGATTCCGGATCCGTTTCTTGGGCCGAGGGGTGTTAGGCCGCTCCTAGTGTGTCGAGGCGCCGCTGGGTAAGCTCAGATTTTAAAGGCGTGGATTAGAACTGATGAGTGGCGAAGTTGTAGATTTTTCGGGCCCTTTGGCATTTATTACGCACTTCAACATCTCTCGTTGGAAGATATCACTTTTGTTAGGCCTATATTCACGGGAATAGTAGATTGTCTGCTCCTAGCAAAAACCTACTCAAAGAGAGAGGTATTTGCATCACCTCAGTGTCCCCTGTAGAGGTATCTGCTTGCTTTACTTACAGTCAGTTGTGGTGCAGTTTATAGTCTCTTCGGTGTCATTTTGATCTCGAGGAACCCGCAGTAAATGCTGGCGCAGGAGACAGGTTGCGTGTCACCCTTTGCCCTGTGTGGTACAGTCTCCTTTATTTCTCGCTTTCGTTCACGTTTCATTTGAGGTGCCCTCACGTTAGCCCAGAGAGTACGTTTTCCCAACTTTCATATCTTAGCCCGACCTGATCGATGTTTCCCTTTCATAGCGTCTGGGGACCCGAATTCGCTTGACAGTCGCTATTGAACAGAGGTGAACCAGTTTCTCTGCCCAGAGGAAATCGAGGAGTTGGAGCGGCGATTCCTCAATGTTTTGAGGCATAATTTGGGCGTCGAGGACTGCGAGCTCTTCGAACATAAACTAGCGATTTCCCAATGCATCAACCCTCCGCACGCGCCCAGAATATGTCTGCTCCATCACAATTTACGTCTGAGGAGATCGCAGACGTTACGCCAGCTAGAACTTGACCGAGGTGTCCTAGACCTATAATCACGTACTCGGCTTCGATGTGTCGTATAATTGTGCGCATCACATACTCTTTTCGCGCCTACACTCCTTGCGTGCTTGAATAAATAGCTGTCGAGTCCGAGGCGTGTGTCTACACGTTTGGCGTGGGTAGTCGGAAGTCAGAGTGGAAGTTTACATGTCGCACATGTTCAAGCTTGAGGCCTCTTGCAGAATGCAGGCTTGTGTCTTGTAAGTATGATACTGCTGTGCTGTGACGAATATTAGCATCTGGGAAATGGCTACGCGACGCGACTGTTAACAGCTCTTTCGCACTTGAGCGAGCCCAGATTGCATTGGCCAATAAGTGTCACCGAACGCGAAAGGAGTCTTACGACAAGTCACTTCCAAACGGAGGTGCAGATGATAGGAGATATGCGCTTGAAACGGGATTTACAAATTACTACCGCGGACACACATCTGCAGTTCGAACAAGCGGGTCGCCAGAATAAGCGGCGCCTAATCACTTACGATACTTACGTTCCATGTGAGAAATGCATCCGATTGGTCGAATGTCCGTGTTCAGATCTTTAGAGGATGGAGATCATCAGTAGCTGACATGATAACAATGATAACGAGCACAACAATTTTATCTGACTTCAATCCAATCATAATTTGTAGCACTCTAATACTTGTCATAGTAGTCTACCTACGCTTCCCCATCAGAACCACTAACAAACTGAACCCCCACTCCATGGAATGTATTGAAAACCTCCTTATCTGCAAAGTGGTTGAGAAAAAAACAGTTATAAAGCTCTTGTGATGTTGTGGAAGATACAGTGGATGGCGCTTTTTCACTGCCAAATACAGGGATGAGCTCTAATGCATGTGAAATCCAAGTAATGGGAATGACATGGCCCTCTCGTTTCTGTTTGCCTTCCATGTTGGAAAAGCACCTTTCCAGTGTCCACATCTGCAGCTCTGGTTGCTGCTCTGGGGTGGCAATGACATGGAAAGGCTGCAGATAAACAAGGGGATTGTTGAGATGTGGAGGGGCTTCCACCTTGGAGCATGGACATGCACAAGGCTGGAAAATGATGTGAACTTGTGCCACATAACTGGCATCTGTGTGCAGGGAATATGTCAATATAGATCAGTACATATGTGGAAGCAGTGCACCATTCAGGGGGCTGATTAAAACAATGTCACAACACCCATGCAGGAAATCTGGGGAGGTATGCAGTGCTTGAACAACTTGACACAGGAGAATTGTAGAAGTGCAGAATGTGGAATACAGTTGAACATGGAGTTTATGCCACACAGCAATATGGTTGAAGGTGCATGAGTCAAAGTGGATGTCAAGGGAATGCAATTGAAGAAATTCTAGATAATGGTCTTGAAAGTCAGGGAGGCTATATTGTTCCATGATGTTGTTCAGTGACAAGTTAGTCTCATCTGGATGTGACGTGATGTGGAGGGCGGTTTGAGCATGATTGGCAAGGATGCCATTAGCAAAGTAATTGTAGATTGGGTGGGGACCTTGGAGTTGCCACTGCTGTTCAGGCAGGACACGTTCTACCCATGCAAGCATTGGATTTGCTGTGGCAATTTCTTCCTCTTCCATGGAAACAGCATTGATGAGGGGTATATCACTTGAGTGTATCAATGAATACATGTCAAACTGCCACATAGACTCTTCACAATTGAGCAATTGAATGACTTGGTCCATGAAGTCTTTGCCTTTGTTAGTATGTTGGAATGGGTGCTTGCAGTGAGTGATAAGAAGGCACTTGCTGACATCTGCAGTATATTGTATGAGCCCACCGCTGTTATGAATCACCTCTGCAGAATTGTGAAAAAGCTCCAACTTTGGGATGAGGAAGTCATCTTTTGCACCACCTGATTTTGTCATTCTAGCTCTCACCTCGATAATGGCATTCTTGTGGGTGTGGAATTCATGCAATGACAATTCCATTGCCTCCACAGAACTGTCCATATGCATGGGACTCTGTGCTTGGTATATGAAGCTGATAAGAGCATGTACAGCACAGAGGAACTGTGGAGGTACACAACCAGCTATCATGAGAATGATGGTGTGCTGGATGTTGCAGTGTTCTCTGCCCATCATTTGCTTGACATGTGAAACACCACTTGCAGAGTGCCTTACTGCAATACATTTGTGGTGACACTTGAATTGCACATTGAGTTCATCACCAAGTAAGACTTTGCACCATGGAAGGACATGATTGAAAAAAACTTGTGGCATGTATGGAGGATTTCAGGAAGAAGGAAAGTGGAAGGGTTCACAAATGGCCAGTTTCTCCAAAATGGGAGGCAGATACCATTTAATTGTAGCATCTTCACCTGTCTTTGAAAACTGTTCATATTATCCCATGGGTGAACATTCTGAGTGACTTGTTCAATGTGCTGGAGAGTGAGACCGCTGGTACGAGATGATTGGTGATGAACATCACCAAATTGCTTGTGGGTTGCTTCTGTAACAGGAGATGCACTCTTGGAGATGCATGCAATCATTAGTTGTTCAGGGAGGTCAGCAGTCCACACCACTAATGGCATGAAACAATGCTGCAGGTGTCCATGAGGGTCTGGCATCATGGATCCAGTGTCTGCAGAGCGTTTCAGGCCTGTGGTAATGATATTGACACATTTGTGCCAAACATGCATCTGCAGGATCATTTGGTTTGCCTTGGGGACATCAAATGCTGGTATTGGCATGAATGCAACACATCGCCATGCATGTGAGGTGGCTGCCATGTGGATGTGCCCTGGAATATTACCAATGCTGATGAAGAGGGGGTGCATTTCTAGTCCACCTGTCATCCTTGTCACAGGGGTCTTATCCAATGTGGCAAGAATAGGTACAATTGTTGCACTGTCCAGCAGGGAATCCTATGGAAAACTGTTTTTCACTTTCCACAGTGAAGATGCACCACCAGATGAACATACCTGGATGTGATGGGCTTCATGTGCTGAAAACCATTCACTATACTCCCACCCAAGAGCAGTCATGACCAGGATAGGATCAAACATCATGTTGGCACCAAAGATAGGATTTCCAAACAAGGACCATACAACCTCCTCTGCATCATGCCAAATCAACTGTATAGGATTGGTTGTTTGGAAACCCTTGACTTCTAGAGTGGTACTCTGCCACTTTGGCCCTGAGGGAAGAGTATCCATCCATCCAAGCAGCTCTTCTGCAGAAGTAAAGGATGGCCTTGGATTATCATGGAACTAACACAGATCAGTAAAATGAGGTTTTCTTGGGATTGAAATTACCCAGGGTAAAGTGAGAAATCTTTTGATCTGAGTTTGCGTGAGGTTTTCTGCAAGAAACTTGGCTAAAGACCATTCCCCTTGGGACTGAAATGGATAGTACATGTTGATCTCTCACTCTTGCTTCAGAGGGCCATTATGAAACTGCTTGAATGTATTTGGTTCATGCCCAAAAGTATACCCTGATCATGTTATGCCTCTGTCAGGGGTCTTTCCTTTTTCGACTCTTCATGGTCACATGCATCATGTGCCTCATTGCATCCCTAGTAATCAGTTGCCATCCTAGGGGCTAGGATGCTCCAGGGAACATTTGGATCTCCTGCTGTCAAGGTATTTCCAATACCTGTCAAGACTGCACTGCCACTGTGATCCGGTATCCCACTGCCCTCTCTGATGGATGACTTGTTTCATTCTTGTTCCATTGACTCATCTCTGACTCGTTTATGTTGCTCACTTGTTGTACTATAGTTCCAGTGTCAGGCTCCTCACTGTGCATTGATTGTGCCAGCCAGTATAGCCTTTGTTGCCTCCCTACCCCCATCTTTGACACTGTATGACTCTTATTTATTTGACTGATGATTCTGTTGACTACTGTGGATATGTGTCGCAATGTGTCCTTCATGACTGGTACAGTACTCATACTTAGGGGTATATAAACCTACATACTTTGTCCTGTATCTGCAGTTTTTTGATAGCTTGCAACTCAGCTAACTTCCTTCTCTCTCATCCTTGTTCTCTCTCTGCATGAACAACCTTAGGGACTTGCCAGCAAGACAGAACCTTTGTCAGGACCTTAGGGATAACTGAGCCATAGGGGTTACGATATGTTTCGGCCCATAGACTTCCCCCTCACAGTGCATCATGTGCCTACTCCATTTGAAGAAGTCACTGCACTTGGGCATAACAAAATCAAAAAACTCTGTGCAGCTTTCAGGACTTGTCGACCTCTTTGCAAAAGTCTACTCATCCCTGGTTTCTGAACTTCAACAAACCAACTGTCTTATTCCTGCCTCTCAACTGCTCTCACAAGCATAACAAAATTGAGAAGCACCCCTCTACCCTTAATCAAATTCACCTGCTCTACAGGCAGCCACTAGGCTTTAATAGATTGCCTCCCTGGAGCCAGTGCTCAGTGTCTCCCTACATGTAAAGTCACTTGCACACCATCAACACCCACACTGACAGGTTTCCTTTGGGAAATAAGTCCTCCCTCAGCCTTCATTATCACTTCCTGTTAAAGTGTCTAACCCACAGAAATTGAGACTGCCAGTTCCTCCTCGACCAAACCCCCTTGGGCTTGGAAGGAATCTGCCTTTGCCTCCTATCCTGCTAGGAAGACTAGGCCCCTCAGTTACCTCTACAAACCCTTGGTTATCTTATTTGTCCTGGTTTAGGGAATCGGAAATTGCGCTTAGTTCAGAAGAAGAAGATGATCAGAAGTCTGAGACTTCTTTTGGATCAGTCCTCAAGGAAGAACAAGAAGCATGTAAATCACCAGATATGTCCATGACGATTGGTCATGGAGAGTCAGCTCCTGAAATGCCTACAAGGACTGTTTCAGAAGAGGAGCTGAGACAATGGTTGGAAGAACAACAGACTCGCTATGGCAGAAGAAGTTCTATGATTGCTGCCCACCCAATGGAGGAAGGGAGTTTAATGTCAGGGTGTCCCAGAGAATACGATGGAAGCCACAATGGGCTCCAGACCTGGGTCACACAGGTTGAAGGTTATCTGAACCTAAACAAGCATGTGTACAACATGGAGTCACTCAAGATCTTGTTTGTGCTCACTTATATGACCAAAGGTGCAGTAGGTTCCTTTCGCCTAAAAACTATCAAAATGAAAACAAGCTTCTCAACAGAACAATCTATTACACTGGACACCTTCCAAAGGTTTGTGGAATGTCTCAAAGCTATGTTTGAGTCTGGTGATCAAACTGCTCTTGCAATCCTATGCCTTTCAGACATCTCACAAGGCAAATGCGAACTAGAAGCCTATATCGCCGAGTTCACAGGGCTTGTCAACAAGGCTCAATTAAAAGAAGAGTTGCGAGAAGCAGGGATCTTCTTCAGGAAAGGCTTAAACAAGGAGTACCATGACTGGGTTCTTAACTCTGGATGCACCCCTTCCACAGTTATTGAGTGGATACAGTGCATGGGAGAAGCCCAAACAGCAATCACTATGAAGCATATCCTAGAAGGGAAGGAATCTCAGTATGAATGGAAATTCATTCATTACTGCAGAGGTTCCCAAGATCCTGATGTGATGGATGTTGACAAATGTAAATGGAACATGCGCCTGTTCCAGATCAAACATCAAATGCTTCAACTGTGGAGCCGAAGGTCACTACAAGCATGACTGCAAATCCAAGCAACTCTCAGGGATCTGCATTGTCCTCAAGGAGGATGGCACAAAGACCGCCTACGTCAGAGATCGTGAAGCAACCACAGAAGAAAGAAAAACATTTGGGTTGGATTTTTAGGAAGGACTGCCTGAAACCCCTGCAAAGGACAGTCCTGTATCAGTGTTGTCTGCTAAATGTACTTCTATAGATGACAAATTGACTATGCGAATCTGCTCGCCTCTAGGAAGGGTCAGTTTTACCAGACTTCAATGCAGGGATCATGGCATGTATTGACTCAGGAGCCAAAGTCTCCCTGATCTTGGAACGAAATTGTCCAGAAACTTGGGATACCAACATACTGTGTCAAGAGCAAGTTCAAGACAACTTCATTCACTGGGAAAGACTGTCAAATGGGTCACTGCAAAAGGCAACCATCAAAATGATCATCAAGAATTGGGTTGTCAGAATCAAATGTTACGTTGGGCCTCTAATAGGAAAAGAACACTGTCCTACTTGGCATGCTGTTCCTGAAGGAATTCAAACCACAAATGAATTGGGAAACAGGAAGAATCATATGCTGGGATGATGGGTATGTTCCTAATGAAGAGTCTGACAGATATATCAAACAGATTGTGCCTTCCTATGAAGGACAAGTGGTAAAACAGGAAACAGGTGAAACCCCCATTGTTAAAGTTAACAAAACCACCTTATCCACAGAACTTGAGGCTGCCCAAGCAGCAACCAAAGAGGAGGTAAAACTCCCTGAGATTTACCAGGAGTTCGCCAGGGTATTTGCTGAAGATGACATCCTGCTCCTGGCACACAGGGAAGGGTTGGATCATGAAATCTGACTTCACAAAGATTTCAAGCCCAAAAAGGCTACAGTATATCCCATGTCCCCTGATGAATTAAAAGTTCTAGATGAGTTCTTGGAGGAGAATTTAAAATGCAAGAAAATTTGACCCTCTACCTCACCTCAAGCAGCTCCAGTATTTTTCGTGGCCAAAAAGGATGGGAAGAAGTGGCTAATTCAAGACTACTGCTACCTGAACTTGTTCATGATTCCAGATGCCCACCCTCTGCCAAATGCCCAAGCGCTGTTTGACAAGTTAGTCAAGTCAAAATACTATGCTAAGTTTGATATTTGGTGGGGTTTTACTAACCTTTGGGTCAAGGAAGGAGATGAGTGGAAAGGAGTGTTCATCATGCTGCAAGGGCTGTTCAAACCCACAGTAATGTTCTTTGGCCAATGCAACTCACCTCCATCCTTCCAAAGGTATATGGACAAAACTTTCAAATCTCAACGCAGAAAGCAAGTGGGATACATGGATGACATTGCAATTCATGCGAAGACAAGGGAAGAACTCCGAAGTCACATTTGGGAGTTCCTGAAGATTTGCGAGAAAGAAGGACTTCAGCTCAAGATCAGCAAATGCATCTTCGAGGCCAAAGAAATAGAATTCCTCAGGATGATTATAGGAAAGGGGTGTATGGAAACTTTGCTGACTGAAGACTGACACTATCAGCACCTGGGAAGCCCTGGACAATCTTACTGGGCTTCAGAGATTCCTTGGATTCTGTAACTTTTACTGCAAATTCATACCCTCCTTCTCTAGCATCGTGTGGCCACTTCACAACCTTACCAAGAAAGGAGTGTCCTACCAGTGGACTCCAGAACATAATGCAGCCTTCGAAAAGCTTAAATCTTTGTTATGCTCCTCTCCAGTCCTCACTATCCCCAACTTCTCGAAACCCTTTGTGTTGTTCACCTGATGCTTCGAAGCTCAGCACTGGCGCATGGTCCTTGCCCAGAAAGGAGCTGACAATGAATGGCATCCATGTTTGTACCTGTCTCAGTCCTTGGTAGGAGCTGAACAACAGGTACCAGGTTTACAACCTGGAAATGCTAGCTATCATTCAGGCCCTCAAGGCCTTCTGCCCCTACCTCCTCTCCCCTGTAGAACCCACTGTGGTCTTCACTGACCACAAGAACCTGGAGTATTACTGGGAACCGCAACAGCTCACCCCTCGCCAGGCTCAATGGGCTGCAACCATTCAGTCCTACCCTATTCGCTTCTCTTGGCAGGCTGGCCACCTGCAGGTCCTGGCTGACACTCTCTCAGAAGATGGACTCAGAGGAGCCTGCCCTGGTGACCATGGTCCTCCCACCAGACCTTTGGCTTTTGGAGGGGGTGGGTCCCCAAATTTGTCTCATTTCACCTTCTTTTTCAATAACAAAGTTACAAAAACAACTAAAAATTAATCACCTTTGTCAAATAGGACGTCTCCCCACCCATTTGGCATGGTTGCAGAAAAATCCCAAGCTGTATTCCCGCCCACCTGAGGAAACATCAAAGGGGAATAGGCTGCCTGGTGCTCGCCCTTCTGAGGAATCAGTCAAAGGAGTGTGGGGGATATATGCTGTGTCCACAGAACTCTATGAACATGTCAAAAATGATGCATTAAAGAAACCAACAGGCCCAGAACCCCAAGATAACATCACTATGACAGAAGATGGAACAAAAAGATTCGGAACTACGCTGACTCTACATTCCCCCAGATCATAGATGACACTGCATGCTGTTCATACCATGACCACAAGTCAGCCAGACATCCTGGACAAAAAGCTATGTTCATGAAGATGCATAAAGAGGTTTGGTGGGAAGGTATGGGAAAAGATATAAAAGCTTATGTCACAGGGTGTCTGGCTTGTCAAACTACAAAGGTAGTAACTCATCCCCTGACTCCACCGGTCATTCCC